GCGGGGCGCGGCCGGCTCACTCACTGGAACTGTTTGGTGAGCTGGCCGGCGTTGCCGCCGCCGATGCGCTGCTCCAGCTCAGAGAAGGCGGCCGCCACGCCGCTGTAGCACTCCTGGCCGGACTCCGAGCGCAGCGCGTCAGAGACCACCGACAGGAACTCTGAGGGTGACCGCGGCTCGCCAACAACGGGAAGGGGGGGGGGGAGGGCCGCTGTAGCACTCCTGGCCGGACTCGGAGCGCAGCGCGTCAGAGACCACCGACAGGAACTCTGAGGGTGACCGCGGCTCGCCAACAACGGGGGGGAGGGGGGGGGGGGGGGCAAGGCGACGAGGGCCGCACGGAGCCCGCGGAGAAGCGCCAGTGTACACCCGTCAAAGGCTTGCAGGTACTACGGAGCCCCCGTCTGCTTCACACAGGGGGTGGACTTTTAACAACTGGCTAAAAAATGTGACGGTGAACCATTAGTAGTACTTAGCCTCTATTATACAAACGCCAAACTTGACATAAGGCGATCACATCGCACCTAAGTATCGTTACGCATCGCATTGTTTGATTACCACTGGTCTTTTCAAATACGCCAATTGCCAATACGAAATACCTTCTGATGGTCTACAGCGAGGCCAGCTGGAAACTTTATGTTACAGACAGAGCCCACTGGAGTGGCGCACCGCGTGTGGCGATGCCGCGCGGTTTCTGACCGACAGATCGCGACCCTGGCCGGCGCCCCGGCCGGAGACCCCACACGACAGATCGCGACCCTGGTCGACGCCCCGGCTAAAGACCCCCCACGACAGATAGCAACCCTGGCCGGCGCCCCGGCTGGAGACCCCACACGACAGATCGCGACCTTGGCCAACGCCCCGGCTGGAGACACCCCACGACAGATCACGACCTTGGCCAACGCCCCGGCTGGAGACCCCCCACGACAGATCGCGACCCTCGTCGACGCCCCGGCTGGAGACCCCACACGACAGATCGCGACCCCTGCCCGACGCCCCGGCTGGAGACCCCACACGACAGATCGCGACCCTGGCCGACGCCCCGGCTGGAGACCCCACACGACAAATCGCGACCCTGGCCGCCGCCCCAGCTGGAGACCACACACGACAGATCGCGACCCTGGCCGACGCCCCGGCTGGGGACCCCACAAGACAGATCGCGACCCTGGCCGACGCCCCGGCTGAAGACCACACACGACAGATCGCGACCCTGGCCGACGCCCCGGCTGGAGACCACACACAACAGCCGTCACGGGGCACGCGCGGCCGACTCACCGTAGAAGTTGGTCTGGGCGTGCAGCGGCGCGCTGCTCGAGACGGCCGCGTGCACCATGTGCGGGTACTTGAGCCGGTACCAGGCGGCCAGGCTGCCCGGGTACGAGCCGCCGAACGCCACCCAGCGCGTGCTGGCGTCGAGGCCGTGCTGCACGTTCATGGCGGCCGAGAAGGCGGCCAGGTCGGCCAGCGCCTGCTCAGAGCTCAGAAAGCGCAGGTTCTTGATGTTCATGTCCCTACAACGGGTCAGAGGGTAGGATGTGAGGACGGAGATATGCCACCATTAGCTCTGTTATTTGCCTACCACGGTATCAGCATGCACATTTGCGCGTTTATTCGCACGGGTTTACAGCGATGTCTTCCTCTCAGAATTCCTGCACAGCAATGAATTGTACGCGCCTCTGGGGCCATCAGCCAAGTCATGTGATTTTGGTTTAACGGACTACTTTATCCGCGGCCCATTCTATGGACATCATAGGAATCGCATCAGTGTCATATCAGACAACGCCACGATCACCCCACATTACAATGATACCGCTCTGTGGCAGGTTGCCACATCACCATGCATACTTGTAGGGGCAGACCGTCTACACTATCTGGGATTCGAACCCACTGTCTGTGAGCCAGTCCCCAATCAGCGCCCTCGGCTACTACGACAGCCTGCGAATGGCTGGCCTGAACAGTCACGCCACGAGGCTCCAAGACGTCACCAGCCTCAGCCCACTCCAGGCCGTCCCACTTGGCCGTGGTGCCGCACGCACTCGGTGGGGTGGCTCTTCCCGTAGAAGCGGTGCTCGAGCAGGAAGCAGAGGGCGTTGTGCTGCCTGGCGTACTCGATCCACTGACCGGCCACCATCCAGATGGGGCTGGCCTTGCCCTCGCCGCCGATCATCAGGAACACCGGCCCGCCCGGCTTGTAGAACGAGTCGTTCGTGAAGTAGCGCTGCGGAGAAACACGGCGTCGATTCGTCGGAGGAAAGCGATCAAGCCGCGCCAGAGACGGGCAGCATCAGCAGGCTGTTACGGCCCCAAACAATGATAAGTCGCAAGAGGGTGGCGCAGCGCCAGCGACCAACGACCAGGGCAAGGGCGATGCAGTACCCAAGACCAGGCAGCAAAGTTGGAGGAGGGCGATACAGTTGACATGATGCGGGTGGTGGCGCGGGTGTTGCGAGCGACTCGGCACAGACGAGTCGCGCCGCCGACACCGGCCCGTGACGTCACCTGTTGCCAGGTGCGCAGGTCACTGGGCTGGGAGTGGTCCAGCTTCTGGGTGAACCACTGGTCTGGTGGCAGCGGGGCATTGTGGACGTTCGGTGGTGGCAGTAGGAGGCCGTGGACGTCGTGACGGCGCAGACCGACGCAGCTGCCGCACACGGCCAACACCACCAGAGCAGCGAGCACTGCACCTGTGGAAAACAGGGCACAGTTGTGACCAGCTGTTGCCATACCAGACCTGTGGAAACAGTGATGCTTACATCCAGCGTGACACAGACATCGCATGACAGCCGTCATATGCTTGTGACAAAGGCTACAGCAATGGTCAAATGGGTTCAGGAACAGGGGCCAGGCAATCATTAGATATCCCTAGGGTCAATCTGCTGCCTTTTCAGCTCCATCATTCTTAATCCCAAAATAGCAGGGGTGTTGCATCAATCCCCTTCATCTGTTGATGTGAAAAATGATGAATAGGAATGAGGGTACTGTACTACTATCCACTCACAAACCTAAGCTGGTTGTCTACAATATTCCCCAGGTCTTCCTTGGTGGCCAACTCTTCAATAATACATTGCCACCATTCAGAATCCAGGTGCAGTCTGGGAGCAATAATAATAGATAACTGATAGGAGCAATAACAAATCACATCACATATTCACAACATTTTCTACCCTTCCCCCAGTTATGAACTTGTAATGCTGGATGCAAACCCTCCCCCATAGGCTGTGATAAGCATAACATAATATCTCAGAAAGGTAGCATCCATGGGGCCTGCTAGAGGTGCCAAAATAAAGATGAACATGTTGCTTGTAATGAATAAAAGCAAACAGTCTTTGGTTTAAGCATTTCAAAACAGGTCAAAAGATACCTTACCATGGTTTGCAGCTACACTTAAGTGTACTGATGACCTGACCAAACCATTCTCCCCTTATTCCACTTTGGTTATGCATGATTAAAACTCCTCCCCCTTCCATGTGTAACATTATAGATGAACAGTTCATGGGAGTTCCCATGTGCATGTGCATCACCTTGCAATTTGACCCATTGAATACAAGTGGCCCTTCACTAAGCACCTCAACCAGGCAACCAAGCAGACCTTGAGTTAATGTCCCATGAGTGATATAAGCATCCAACAACACAGCTACGTGCAGTCCCCAAACAACAAAACACCAAAGTTTTCCATAACTCAACAGCTAAATTTTCACACTCATTCTTGCTGAGGCAGGTCACTTACCAAGGGTGCAGCCAGCACTTTCTTATGAGGTAGGGGTGGGGAGGGGAAAGAGCTCAGTGGGAATACTTACACAGGTTTTTAACTTTCTATCAGGAGCCATCTACAACAATATGAGAAAGCAGCCCGAGGGGGCTCCAGGCCCTGAACCCTCCTTGCTTTACTCCTGTCATCTAAAGATGATGTTAACAGGATTCGACCTAAAGCATGCCACATGTGATGGATGTTACTAGTCACCGCTATCCCACTGAACTTTGAGTCCTTACCTAGCACCACCCTAGCCTTCCAGCCTATCAGGAATGCTAAATCTGTGCAGAAGACTACCACTTACCCTGCTAGTGCAAGATTTAGACATGTATCCCTAATTGAGGCTAGTTGGTTACTTGATTTGAAGCTTTAAAACACCCAGATCAACTGGCCACATGACCTTGACCTGAGCTTGACCCAACATCTCAGAAGCTCAGGACCTCCACATAAAACATCAGTTTTAGGCTCACCCCATAACCCTGAGATTAGGTCTCCTATTAGATTGGCTGGAATACAGCTTGTTTCATTGTCAAAACAAGTGAGCTGATCAGTAAGTGTAGTAATTTCACATTTTTCATTTTTAAACCATTTGTATCTAAAGGGCATGCAGTGAAGTATGCCACAAAACTGCAGATGATGCACAATTGGTGGTGAGTAATCACGGGTGTGTATTTGAAATTTCTGAACCTACGTACATGGTATATTTCACCCTTTCACGGCGACTGACAAATGACGGTGAACTGATGCAGAGAAAACACGACTAATTGCAATAAACATAGATCCGTTTCTGAAGCCCGGATCAAATGCGTATAAATCCATTCACACCTCACCTCTCATTCTTCAAAAACTCAAACCACACCTATTAGTGTGCTTAGGCTATCTGATGATGCCTCAGTCCATTACAAACTTTGTCACAAACAGCAACGCATCAATGCATCACGCATCATCCGCATCAACTTGACTACAATACACTTGTTCGGAAGTTCACTATCGAAACATGAACGCTGTTTTGCGCCCAAACTAGAAGCACCATATCTGAAATGAAAGATAAAAAATCTAGCATAAATTGCTTATAAATCTCAACTTCGTCATGACATGATTGATTTTGCCCGGGTTACAATGCGGTTGTCGGTATAAAATCTGTGATCAATGAAATTATAGCCATATTTTTTAGTGTATACATATTTCGTGTTTATCATTGCATATATAAGGCGTTATGTACGTTTTTATATGCATATTTCGCTGACTCAAAATTGCTCGATCTACACCTGAGAGCACACGTGACACACAATCAAGCCTTGGATGACGTCATTTAGAGTCTTGATGGTACCTGCTTTTTATAGTACCTTGCCGGCGAGCAAATGTCGATGTGCGAGATTTTGTTGCACTGAGGGCTGGCCTTTGCTCCGTGTTAACACGGGAGGTAAAAGCGTTGTGATGTGTTGTGGTGTGTAGCATAATGCGAGTTTGCAACCCGTTCTATGCAACTTTTAGTTGTACGATTGTACGCCTTTTTTAGCTCACCCTGCATCTGAATGTTAGAACGCTAAGAGCGCGCTGCGCGGAGGACGGAATATAATTCTGGCTGGATAAACAGGTAGATAAGCCTTCCGGTGTTTTATACTGAACGTCAATATTGCTTAAAACGGTCCTCCTTGAAAACTTCTCATTTTGCAGTCACTTGTATGTGAGGCAGAATGCCAATGTAAAACATCATTATTGTTTCTGTCATTTGCATGTCAGTGTGATATGGAATGTTGGTTTCTGAAGTCTATAATATGACCTTCCAGCACCCTACCTTGTTTGGTTATATGTATGTGCAGCACCAGATATATGACATGAGCCAGGTAACCAACCAGATATATGGGTCATTTTCTGTCAGGTATGTGTAGCACCAGATATATAGGACAAACTAATGGGCAAATGTGATCCCTGGCTTCATAGAAGTGAAAATGCTTATCTAAGCTGTACCAGTTTACATGAAAATGTGTGTAGGTATTGATATAAGGGACAGTTCCAGAACATTACCTGGAGTATGCTGGTTTGGAGGGAGAAGTGCAAAGGATGCCTTGATTCTCAAAAAGTCCCAAATTGTTTTCACTTACTCTTAAGGGTATTCCGAAGTACATTCCCTGTAAGGACTGCTTAGATTGATTTTTACATCTAAATTTTTATTTTGCCCAACTTTGGTGATGGGTTCTGGTATTTTGCAGGTGTGTATGTCCCAGGAATGCATCCTGCATTCTTAAGGATATTTCCATGGAGACACACACAATACTTTGCTTAATTTACCAGTTTTTTCTTAAAATCTTTCTTTAGTCACTCTTGCACAGAGCCAAGCTTGGCACTTTTGACATGAGGCTCTGTTTCAAAGGGCCCTGAGCTTCTCTTATGACAGCCTGTGAACACAGATGTCTTGCTCAGCCTGCTGACCCATTGCTGGTTGTCATGACTTCTAGCCAGCACCTTAGTTTCTATGTGGAGTAGAAATTGTAACTGTTGAGATGTAAGAAGAGAGATACTAACAGCAGAATATGCACACACACACACCAGCACCATACAGAATTTGAGCTTCATCGTACATATCCACAGTATGTGGGTCTGCTCTGGATGCAGGCCAGTGCAACCCTCTACCCCCATCTGTACAGAGCTGAGGCTCAGGTTTATGACAGCAATGCCCAGCAACACTGCAAGTGACTGCAAGTCTGGATTGACTGTCAGTGTAGCCCTTTTGCTTCCATCCATGCCATCTGCAGGGTTGAGTCTGTCTCCATCATGGCAAGGCCCATAGAGCCTGAACCAGTCACATGTCACATGCAGTGTGGTGGCCCCTCCTGCAGGGAGGGCCCCTCCTGCACCTTCAGGGCCTTAGTGCCACTTGTGACTGGTGTGCCCCATGCACAGCTCGCGCCATGGCGCAGTGCAGTCAATCGGCAGCGCAGTTTGTGCGGGGAGCGTTCCGGCCGCGCGTGGCCGTCATGACCTCGCCCGAGGCCGATGCCGTCTGCATGCGGAACGACCTGACGCTGACGGAGCTGCTGCAGCCCTTCTGCCAGCTCAACACGGATGGTGAGGGCGCCGCTAAGGTCACGGCCGAGGTCACGGCGCCGGCGCGCTGTCGGCCGCATCTCAAACACGCTGGGCTTCGCGGCCGGTGCGTTCGCGTTTGCCCTCTATTCATTGTCTTCGCGATCCATGATATGGTATGTCTGACGTATTGTTTGCAGGGTCTACAGCGATGTGCGGCGATTGCCTTCCATTGTCCGGCCTCAGCTCTGCTCGTTACGACATGTATGACGTCACATCTCTCCTTGTTACGGCGTGCCTGGACGACGTCACATAAGGAGTGACGTGGCGTCACACGCCACAAATCTCGGAGCCTGCTCCAGTGGCATGTCACGGCCCGGGTCCCGGGTCATTACGCCGGCAGCGTGATAAATTACGCAGTATCCAGCGCATCGCGCAGCAGCTTGATTGCCACTGCAGTGCAGCGTTCTAAAGCGGCCGGCCTCCCCGCGCACCGTGCCGGTGTCAGTGCAGTCCGGCCTCCCCGCGTACCGTGCCGGTGTCAGTGCAGTCCGGCCTCCCAGCGCACCGTGTCGGTGTCAGTGCAGTCCGGCCTCCCCGCGTACCGTGCCGGTGTCAGTGCAGTCCGGCCTCCCCGCGTACCGTGCCGGTGTCAGTGCAGTCCGGCCCTCCCGCGTACCGTGCCGGTGTCAGTGCAGTCCGGCCCCCCCGCGTACCGTGCCGGTCTCACCGGTGGCCGTGCCGGTTTGCAGTGCAGTACCGGGACCCGCTGGGGACGCAGGTGACCGTGCGCGAGCTGCACCTCTGGCTGGACGACTGGAGCCTATCGGCGCCGCCGCCGGCGCACCAGGCCAAGCGCCAGCTCTCCGACGCCGTCTCCCAGAGTCAGCTGCCGCTGCCGGAGGACGGCTCGGTGCGGCCCAACACGCCGTGGTTCGAGTCCTGGCGAGACCGCTTCCTGCAGGTCAGTGCGACGCCCGCTCGCCCTGGTGCTTCGAGCTGCGCGTGCTGGCCCGCACGACCGCCTCCTCAGGTCACGGGATCGGAGCGGTTAATGTGACGCGGCGCGGGCGAGCGCTGGCATGCACCGCTCAGCGCCGGCGCGGCACCGTACAGATCCGCGTGGAGGGTGATGCCAACCAGTATGGGACTGTTTCTGGCAGTGTCGTTTATTTTGGACAGAATCGCGAGGAGTGCCCCTTTTTGCGTAGATGTAGCAGTTCCACGGAGATATAGAAATTCTGGTACTGTCTGGACTGACTGTTTTGTGCAAAGTTCAGCAACTTTATCCGTAGACCGGAACGCTTAGTTTCCGTAGCTGTTCATGCGTGGTCACAAAGTCATAGCCAAGATATACTTTGGAGTCATGGGAAGCATAAAAAGCCTTTTCATTTCGTGTAGTTTTTGCCTCTCTGTGGCATTGTACAAAGTTTGCTCCCACTGTTTTATGTCAGGTACGTTTGTTCAAAGCGTTCCGTTGAGAATTTCGGCCGCGATCAGCCTCGTTCCCGTTCTTTCTCCATCCTCATTTCTCCCTAGTCCTCCTCTTTCGTGGTGAGTGGTCCGGAACTGAACTCCCCCATTGACCCTGTAACGGGGCTGTGACCAGAGCCCGACTTGACCGTGAGTTGACAGTGCCTGACCGTGACCTGACCGTGACCTGGCTGTGGCCGGCCGTGACCTGACATTGTCCAGTCGAGAACTGATCGTGACCGGTCGTAAGCTGACTGTGACCGGCCGTAACCTTACCGTGACCGGTGACCGCGCCACCAGGTGGAGCCGGCCGGGGAGCACGAGTTCGTGCGCCGCTACGTGGCCTGCCTGCTGGCTGTGAGTAGCGGGGCGGCGGCGCCGCTGCAGCAGCTGCAGCAGCTGGTGCAGCAGCAGCACCAGCTGCAGCACGGTCAGCCGGCCGGCGGCGCGCGCTGGTTCTCCAACAACGTGCTGCTCTACCACCTGCTGGTGACGGACGCGTCCGCCACGCCCGAGGCCAGGTCAGTGTCGGCTGGGCGGCCGGGGGCGGAGGGGCCCGGGGGTGGCGAGAGGTCCGGTCAGCGCGGGTGTGGGAGACGAGGCTTGGACCCAGGCTTCGCCACCAGGGTTCATTGCCGGGAGCTGGGAGTCCGGTCAAACAGTTGTTTACGTTTGAGTTCAGCACAATCACCGGTTTTACAAGATAAAACTAGGAGTATCCGGGGAAGCACGCTTTTACGGATCTTGCCCGTACAAGTTTTCTTCACGTGACGGCGGTTGTGGCCGAAGCCGACGAGTGCTGCGATCCTGCAGCCAAGCAGCGGCTGCCCGTCGTCTCAGCGTTCCTAGTTCCTGTTGTCTGCCTGGTGGGCGTGGTGCCGCGCTGTGACGTCGCCGCCGGATGTTGGCAGCGCCAGCGCCGTGTTCGAGCAGATGAAGTCGACGTACGGTGCCCACTGTTGCCACCACCTGCGGCTCAACTCACGCCCGCCCGAACACCAGGAGCCGCACAGCCCCGATCCGTGGGCAACGCACGTGCGCCGGCCGGCCGCCCACCTGGTGAGACGGCGGGCAGCGCGCGCCGCCTGCTGGCCGGGCGGAGCCGGGCCGAGCTGGACGCAGCCGGCGGGATGCCGTGATCAAGGGAGCAGCTGTTGGTGGATAGTGACGGTACACGGCAGATTAGGCTGAAGAAGAACTTAATCTAAATATATTGATGTGATACGGTTATGCCTGCGGTCACGACCAACCAAAGATATTATCTGGTAAGAGCTGTTGTATAGACAGTTTCCGGTGTTTTTTCTGGATGCAGTTGACAGATATAGTTAGATTGTGTGCAATGTTTTATTGTATTTTCTAATCTGCGGTCCCTTGCTCAGCTCTGGAATATTAACAAAAGTGTGATAATCTGAGAAAGACTGAAATACGTGGCGTTCTCGATGGTGCGTCGAGACCTGTCCCCCACCCCGTCTTCTCGCCAGTTCAGTGGGTCTGCCGCCTATGACCCTGCCCCTCGCTTCGCCGTAGGAGGCTACGCCGGCCCAGCGCTCCGGTCCAGACACGCCGGCAGAGGTGGCCGAGCTGACGTCGCTGCCGGCGCGCGTGGTGGAGGGCGAGCTGGGTGGACCGGCGTCGCCGCCGCCGCTGCCGCCGATGATCGCCGACCACCCGCTGTCGCCGGAGCTGGGCCGGTCCGGCTCGCCGCCGCCGCCGCGGCCGGCGCCGGCCGAGCCGGCCTCGCCACCGGCCGCCGCCGACCGGCCTGCGCCGGTGCGCGACCCGGCGGCGCCCTCTGTACTGGTCAACCGCGTCAGCTACCCCGCCCAGACGGGCGGCGTCGGCGCGGTGGTGAGTGCCCATGACGGTGGTGTAGTACCATAACTCCGGGGTGCAAGAGAACATGACCAGATCAATTAGAGAGCTATTAATCGCACTTTGTGTAGTTGATTGCAAAGGCACGTATGATATGGCTGTCAATGGTGAAAATAGCTTTAGTCGAGTTACAATTGTTGAGCGGTGTGGGCCGCACGTGACATGGTCGGTGTCTGCTCCGCCAGCCCACTCCCCGTCTGGTGCAGCGTCTGACCCTGACCCGTCGGCAGGGTCACGGCGCCTGCCTGTCGGCCTCCGACCTGGACCGGGTCACCATCTTTATCTCGGAGCTGTGCATCCGCGGCCTGCTGCCGCACGTGGAGCGCCAGATGCGGGCCCTCAGCGATGTCGTACGTCGCGCCTCGTGCCCGTAGCTGGCGATCAGTGGCTATCCCACGCGGTTTCTATCTGCTTTGTTCTGTTGAGCGATTCCTATTGCTCGAGACTTTCTTTTTCTATCTTGACGCAGAGCGGCTCTCGCTCAGAGTGGTCCTTTTTGGGTCGATCGCGCGGATTTCGAGTGACGTTGATCTTCCCGTGATCACGTTCTGGGCGATGACACCTGTCAGCGACTGGAGGGGGTTCATTGTCGCCTCCGTGTCTCATATGGCCGTCACCCGGGGCTCCTAGAGCCGTCATTGCCGCCGCCCCACGATGTCCTCCCCGGTCGTGTCTGTCCCTTTCGCCGAGAGCGCAAGTAGGTCCTATCGGCGCCGCGACCGCCCTCAGTGTCACCTCTGGGGCCCTCTCCGCCTCAGTGTCACCCCTCGGGCCTTCTCCGCCTCAGTGCCACCCCTGGGGCCTTCTCTGCCTCTGTCACCGCTCGGGCCTCATTGTCACCCCTCGGGCCTTCTCCGCCTCACTGTCACCGCTCGGACCTCAGTGTCACCCCTCGGGTCTTCTCCGCCTCATTGTCACCCCTCGGGCCTTCCCCGCAGGTGAACAACAGGAAGGGTGTCAGTCGCTCCCTGCTCAGCGCCACCAAACGCTGGTTCGGCGGCAAACAGCCCGGCTCGAGCGCCGCCGCGCCCGCCAACAGCGTCATGTGAGTGGTCGGACGGAACCCTGCTGACAGACACGTGTCAGGAGCGGGATAGAGGCGACAGAAAAGGTCTGCTGCCCCTCTCCCAGCCCCCCCCCCCCCCTGCCACCCAGTCATATTCTTGAATGTTTGTATCTGGCTCTGGTTGCGCATGAATTGGCATGCTTTGTGCGTGTTGGAACTGTTGGTCAGCTTGTGTGGATGGGGCTGACCAGGCCTGGTGTGTGTTTTGTGTCTTCAGATACAGCCACGAAGCTCCTGAGATTCAGGTGCGGCGGCTCGGGGACCTGGCCTTCATGTTCGGCCACTATGACCTGGCCTACCAGGTAATCACGCCGGATATTGCCAGGGGCATTGCAATGATATCACAGTGCTGTGATGATGGCTACCATTTGACATGTGATTCTATGTGTCAGGCGGACGGCATTACTCGTGCTGTCACACAGTGAGGTCACGTCCTGTGTTCACAGGCGTATCACACAGCGAAACGCGACTTTAACGGCGACTCGGCGTGGCTGCACTTCGCCGGCGCCGTAGAGATGGCAGCACTGTCGGTGTTTCTTCACGGCGCCCAGGGCAAGGCGTTCCCGCAGCATTACCTGGACCAAGCCGTCACCACCTACCTGGACACGTGCAGGTCGGCAGTCCCAGCGCCGTCGGCCGTGCAGCTGACAGTTCGGTGCTGGGCCATATCAGTCAGATTTGGTTTGGTGGAAGTTCTGAGTGGGTGCAATGTGCTGACTGGGGAGCTGAGTGGCGCGGCAAGGCTGGGCCATGTGGCGGTCCGCTGCTGCCGAGACTTACCCCGAACAATGAACCTCTGGGCCTCCGCGTCGTCCGGCCGGGGTTCCCGCTGGGGGGGGGGGGGGGAAGAGAGGGGGGGGGGGACACTCCAGCCCACTCAAGGCTGATGTACCCAGCCTGCCCCGGCCAATGCGGGGATTCAGAATGAGGTGGTGAATGAGGAAAGAAGGGCGGAGGGCCAGCTCCGGTGGCCGGGTTGGGTTGGTGAAGATGAAGGGACCATCCGTCCACCGTCGTTGTTGGTGTTTGGGAAAACACCAATCGGTTGCATCACGTGCCCGCGCTGCAGTGGAATGGGGACGGGAATCTTAGGGCGTTAGTTTAGATGTCTCACAAAGCTGTCGCTAGCCTCTCGTCTATCTCTGGGCTTTCCTAAGAACGGTGCTGGGCAATACAGTCCATGCTATTGCGCGATGGAGACTGCTACCTATCGATGCCGTCTGGTAGTAGACGTTCGTCCATTTTCCGACAGGATGCCAAATTTCGCGCTGCGTGCCACGCTCTTCAGCACCGAGTGTCTGAAGGACCGCGGACAGTTCGCGGAAGCGGCCCTGCAGTTCATCCGACTGACGGCGGAGGACGCTGACCTCAGGTGCGTGTCAGGTCGGGTCACAGTACCGCGTGGGTCAGCTCAGGTCAGGTCAGGTCAGTGGACCTTGTGCCAGGTCAGATTACATCGGACCAGTTGTCAGTTGTCAGACCACATGGGGTGGCAAGTCCAGAAGGTCCAAAATATTGTAAGGCTTGCAAAAATGCAAGATTTCATCACAATGATTTCCGCAGTGTGCGTATCAGCTGACAAGATTACCGCCACCTTGTGCGTGTCTCGGGAGGCTGAGGTTGCGGCGGCCACCGCCAGGTCGGCGCTGCTGCTGGAGCAGGCGGCACACTGTTTCCTGAACACACAGCCGGCCGGCCGGCGCAAGTACGCCTTCCACATGATCCTCTCTGGTCACCGGTTCGCTAAGGCAGGCCAACGGCGCCACTCCCTGCGCGCGTACCAGCAGGCGCTGCAGGTGAGCAGCCGGCCCGAGCGGGGAGGTGTCGGGGCGGACTGTCTGCGCGCGTGCCAGCAGGCGCTGCAGGTGAGCAGCCGGCCCGAGCTGGGAGGTGCCGGGGCGGACTGTCTGCGCGCGTACCAGCAGGCGCTGCAGGTGAGCAGCCGACCCGAGTGGGGAGGTGTCGGGGCGGACTGTCTGCGCGCGTACCAGCAGGCGCTACAGGTGAGCAGCCGGCCCGAGCGGGGAGGTGCCGAGGCGGACTGTCTGCGCGCGTACCAGCAGGCGCTGCAGGTGAGCAGCCGGCCCGAGCGGGGAGGTGCCGAGGCGGACTGTCTGCGCGCGTACCAGCAGGCGCTGCAGGTGAGCAGCCGGCCAGAGCGGGAGGTGTCGGGGCGGACTGTCTGCGCGCGTACCAGCAGGCGCTGCAGGTGAGCAGCCGGCCAGAGCGGGAGGTGTCGGGGCGGACTGTCTGCACGCGTACCAGCAGGCGCTGCAGGTGAGCAGCCGGCCAGAGCGGGAGGTGTCGGGGCGGACTGTCTGCGCGCGTACCAGCAGGCGCTGCAGGTGAACAGCCGGCCCGAGCGGGGAGGGGCCGGGGCGGACCGACCCGCCCGGGCGGCCCGTCACCGGCGGCTACAGAGGCGGCTTTGCTGGGGTCTGGCTCCATCTGTGGGTGTTTGTAACCATTTGTGTTGTTAGAAGACGCCCACTTATTTAAGCACGTGACTTGTCAGCCAACAGGCTGTTGTCATGGGCGTGGCGGTGCGTGTCGGGAGCAGTTATGGGCTTGTGGCTGGTGTTTTGAATGTCGCGATATGTCGAACGCTCATTTCGATGTTGGAGGGTGAGCTTTCGTATCCATTCCTCTCCTTGTCCCCTTCTCTTACCTCCCTCCCTCGTCCTTGTGTTCCTTATTCCTCCCTTCCTCCCTCGCTCACCCTCCGTTCTGTTTTCTTTTCCTAACCAGTTATTCCATGCTATTTTCTCTCTTTCCCGATTTTTTCGCCGCTCCCAACTTATGTAACATAGTTGTTCCCGCAAAAAACGTTACCACCTCGCCAAACGGAGAGACGTGTCGCGTGGCCGGGTGTGCGAGGACCCCACTCCACGGCTCACCGGCTGGCGGAGTGTGACCGCCGCCTTTACGCCGCCGCCGCCGCCGCCGCCGCCAGGTGTACGAGGGCCACGGCTGGCGGCTGGCCGACGACCACATCGCCTTCACACTGGCGCGCCACTCGGAGACGCTGCAGGAGCCGGCGGCGGCGCTGGCCTGGCTGGGCCGGCTGCTGGCCGGCGCCGCCGCCAGCGAGGCGCGCCAGTCGGCCGCCCAGCAGACCGCCTTCGTCAGGGAATACCTGCAGGTGCACAGGGTAAGCCGACTGGGCGGCAGTCGAGCCGGCCAGCGCCTGGAAAACGTCATTCAGATGAGGGTGGCGATTCGAAATGATCTTTGAATATGTTGACACTATTGTACAAGAATGATTCCAAAGGTAATAAACTGTAAGCCAATGTCTGGCGAAAACAACTGTCTGGTGTCGATATGTGTGGTGTGTCAAGGCATGCCAGTGACTGCATGTGCCATAATGTCCCGGTCTCCCCGCGTTAGTATCATCAGGAGTGGCCCATAGTTCGTCTCTGCCTCGCTGGTGACCAGCGTCGCCTGCGGCCGTTTCCCCGCCGTCTCGTGCCGTGCCCGCCCGGCCTGGCCGCCCGCTCACGCCCCTCGGCCGCCGGCAGCAGCAGCAGGCGGCTGTGGGCGCGGCGCCGCCCCAGCTGCCGGTACCGACGCTGCTGGCGGCGCGCACGCGCGTGCTGGTCAGCCCCGGCCAACAGCTACCCGCGGACGGCTGGACGCCGGCGTCCGGCGTCACGTTCGCCGACGACGAGGAGGACAACGCCAAGTGAGTCGCGCCGCCCGGCCGCCGCCGACGGCGCGCGCGGCGTACCCGGGCCGGCTCGGAATGGTCTGCGGCTAGACATCTCGTGTCGTAGCCTGCCCGTTCATTTTGTAGGGGTGCGCGGCGCACGATATCGCCCCCTTAAGACGCCGCTTTCGTGGGGTGCCCGGCGAACGATATCGCTCCCTTAAGACGCCGCTTTCGTGGGGTGCCCGGCGCACGATATCGCTCCCGGAAGACGCCGCTTTCGTGGGGTGCCCGGCGCACGATATCGCTCCCGGAAGACGCCGCTTTCGTGGGGTGCGCGGCGCACGTATCGCTCCCTTAAGGCGCCGCTTTCGTGGGATGCTCGGTGCGCGCCGTTGCGCCACCCTTGATGGAGCGCACGGGCAGTTGAGCCTGGGCATTCCATGCGGACGTCAACGCAGAGGCGGTTGCTCAACGTACGTGGCGTGGCATTTCCGGGCGTGTGACGCCGCCGTGTGTCGTGTGTGCTGACCTGGCCGTGGTTCGACCGTCCGCGCTGTCCGTTGAGGGACTGCCCGTCAGCTGGCGTCCGGTACGGAATACTCGGTCTGACGCGAGACGCGGGCACTGACCTGCGCCGTGCCGCGCCGGCCAGGTGGTTCCAGCTGGAGGAGCTGTGCATGGAGTGGCTGAGAGAGAGCACCGCGCCGTTCCGACCCACCATCCAGTGCATGACGGACAAGACCAACAACGCGGCCAGCCCGTGGGTTTGCGCCGCAGGTGGGTGCTGACTCAGACGATCAGTTTACATCGTCTGAGGGTGTGTGTATGTGACAAGGGAGGTCGTTCCGGCAGGCGTTATGACACATGGTTGGTTCCTCTATGTACGCAGCACCTCGCTGGTCCAGTGGGGAGGCGAGCTTGCCCTCCGGTCGGGTCACTAGCCGTCGAGGTTTCCGTAAATTCAGCGTAGCGGATTGCTCGAGCTGTGTGAGAAAAGTCGCCGACACGCCAGCCAGCCCACTGACCCATTACCTATCACCTGACCTGGTTCGTGCGGGGTTTGTCGTCCGAGGGGGCGCTGAGGCTCACCATACCAACCCGAGGTGAGCCGGCAGCAAGGGGACCACGTCCAAAGGGGCGCTGCTATGCCCGTTACCTAAGCATTCCGTTGATACGCGTTGCCCCGCAGTACTGCTACCTCAGATTCCGTACACACAGCAACGCTTCCAGTGTCTGTGCAGCCATTTATGCAGCTTGAATGAGCAATACTCACTCCAAGGTGGAGGGAGAACGTTTCGAGTCCTGGACCGCCGATCCGTCTGGCGGACCCGCTGCCACCATGGCGGCTGACCCCCGTGACGTGCCTCTGTGACCCGGCCGCGTCACCGGTCGGTGCGACCTCTCAGTGAGCGGGGCTCCGCGCCGCCCCACAGAGCCGGTCCAGGTGCAGCTGGTGCTGCGCAACCCGCTGCGCGTGCCGCTGCAGCTGTCGGAGCTGCGGCTGCAGTACTCGTTCGTGGCGCGCGCGCCGGCCGCCTCTGAGTCGCACGTGACGGCGCACACCCTGCCGCGCTGCCTGCTGGAGGAGAACTGCACGCAGGAGGTGGGTGCGGCTGGCGGCTGGCGGCTGCGAGCTCTGGCCTCTCGTCGGGGAGGGCGCTGCTGACATGGCGCTGGGAGGTCTGCTGTCCGCCCCTGTATCGGGCCACGTCTGTGCGTGTGTTCGGAGTAGAGGCGCAGAATTTTGGGACCACGGCTCCGGCAGCCGGCGTTAAGGCATTGCGGGCTGTACCGGGGATTTCCTGAGTCGCCGTTGCTGGTACGTCGCTGGTGCCAGAAAGTGCCGATCAACGTTTAATGCATTGGTGTTCGACAGCAGTGCTGTTACCAGCCATATCCTTAAGCCTGTAGACCGGTGCCAATAGCGTTAAGGATGTGACTGTCATGATGCAGGTGCCGACTGTTGAGAGTACGGCCCCTCTGGCTCTCGGCTGCTGTGTACGCTGTGGCAGCTCGAGCTTTAGTGCATGCGACGCGCTTCTTCTAAATTATTGTTTCATACGCTCGCCTTGCTTTTATGGCGACATGAGATCACGAACATCATCCGAATCATTCGGTAGACAAAATGCGGCCATGACAGTTCTGGACAGATACGACGGGCCGAACCGGGCGTAGCATTGCTTGTTTGATAAGCTACTAAATCTTGGTACTGATTTAGTTTCGTTTTCTTTTTGGGTATCTCATTCAGATCATTCAGTTGTTCTGCCTCGTTATTTGACCCCCAGGTGACCTTGGCAATCACCGCTCACGTACCAGGCCAGCTGACGATCCTGGGATACGAGTTCACGCTCGCTCTGGCTTCGGCGCCGGCCGAAACAGAGGCCGCAGACCAAAGCCAGAGCGCGGAGGCGCCGCTGTCGGTGCGCGGCTGCCAGCCAATCAACGTGCGGGGTCGCCGGCTGAACGGCACCAAAGAGGAGCGCGCCGCCGTGATGTACGCCGAGGATAGACGCCTGCAGGTCAGTGACTCCGGACCGACTCGAGGCCAGCCGCAGCGGGCCGAAGTGCCTGTACCCGTCCACTGGGCCATCTGTACTGCTATGCTCTTGCTGGATGCTAAACGCGCTAGCGCCGTGTTCTTCGGTTGCCTGCTTTGTCAGCACCAATGCTGGTGTGTTACCAAACTGAGGGCTGACTGCAACAACACCAGCGGCGGTCGGGCTCCTGGTCCGCGCTATCTTCTCGCCGAACCCCAGCGGCGGTCGCCAGCCTCAGACCGTGTGTACGGACGGGGCGTGTGCGCTGACGCCGCCGACGCCGCCGCCCGCCGCCAGGTGGTGGTGGAGGAGGAGGCGGCGCAGCCACAGCTCAGCCTGCGCGGCCTGCCCACGGCGCTCATGTGCGGCCAGCTGCACGCCCTCCAGCTGCGCGTGGCCAACGCCGGCCGCCGGCCGCTGCGGCGTCTTCTGCTGGCCACGCCCGACCCTCAGCTGCTGGTGCTGGAGGCCGAGCCGGCGGCGGAGCCCGCGTCGGAGCAGGATCAGGAGAAGGAGCGTGTGTGGCCGGAGGCGGCGGCGCCAAGCCGCGTGCTGGAGCTGGCGCTGCCGGCCGGCGGCCTGCCCCCTGGCGGCCGGCTGGAGCGGCGGCTCTGGCTGCGCGCGCCGGACGCGGACGGGCCGCGGCCGCTGGAGCTGCTGCTGTGCGCCGCCGGCGGGCCCGGCCGGCCGCGGCTGCTGCGCCACGCCGGCCGCCTGCTGGTCACGCCGAGCCTGGCGGTGAGCGTGCGTGCGGCGCGCGGCGCCGGCCCGGCCGGCCGCCTCCACCTGGAGCTACAGGTGGGCGGCGTCCAGCCCACGGAGGCGGCGGTGTTGCTGGAGAGGGCCGCCGTGGCCGCCCCCGGCTGGCGCCTGGACCAGCAGCGGCCGTCCTCAGGTCAGCAGTGTGGTCAGAGCACCGCACACAGAACACCGCACATGGGACACTACACGCGGAACACCTCACGGGACCCCACACAGGGGGCACCACACAGAATGCCACACAGGGGACTCCACACATGGAACACCACACGGGTCACCACACAGAATGCTACACAGGGGACACCGCACACGCAACACCACACATGGAACACCACACACGGAATGCCACACAGGTGACGCCGCATACGGAACACCGCACATGGAACACCACACACGGAACACCACACTGGGGACACCGCACACGGAACACCACACACGGAATACCACACATGAAATGTCACACGGGTAACGCCGCATACGGAACACCGCGCATGGAACACCATACACGGACACCGGTTAAGACTGCAATCTACGCTCATGGCTCGCCTGTTTGACCTGTGTTTTAAAAGCAGCTGTGGGTGCTGTGGCCATCAGCGACCAACACTCGCCGGTGACCATCGAATGAGGCTGAAGACACCTTACTCGGGGCGCTAGGGTAGTCAGGCCCAGGCTGCCGTGGCGGCGGCCGAGCCCGCTCCTTCCCTGCGCTGCGCACTGAGCCGCGGTCGGCGCCGCCAGGGGTGCGCGTGACGCGCGGCGAGACGGCCTACCTGGGCGTGACGGTGCGGCGCCAGCCGGTCCGGCTCTCGGAAGGCGGCCGGCCGCTGCTGCACATCGACACCGTGCCGCTGGACGGCCAGCAGGTGAGGCGGTGACCCAGCAGCCGGCCGAGCTGGACGCCGAGCTGCGCGCTCCCTGTCGCCGGTCGGCCGGCGGGTGAGGTGTCCCGGCGCTGGTCAGGGCGTGTGTGCTGTCGAGCAGGCCGCTGTGCCGTGTGCCAGACGACGTGACATCTCCGTGGTGGAAGTGCCGTGGCAAGTACGTTGTCAGCCAGGGCGTGCCTGGCGCGAATGAAACTGGTTCCAGAGTATCGGTAGCGTTAGTGAGAGTGTATCGTTGCTGGGACCAGCGGACGCCGCTGTTACGGCGTTCGCTGGTCCCAGCAGCGGACGCCGCAGCAGCGGACGTACCAGCGGACGCCGCTGTTACGGCGTTCGCTGGTCCCAGCAGCAGCGTGCGCCGTTTGGCTGTGTGTTTGGGACGAGGTGTTACAACATACGGAATGATATGCTGGGATGTTATTCGCGGCAATTACGTTGTTTGAACTGAAGCGTCAGGGCCTTTTTGTTAAGATAATGTCAGGAATAATGGTGGTTTGTGGTGGTGGTGTGTAAAAACAGTACTTGTCTCGACGGCACTAGTCAAGACGATGACTCCGTCAGTGGTTATGTTGACACAGCTGACCACGAGTACCGCTCAGCGCTAGCCCCAAACCGCCCCAGACGCCACCCCTGACCTCTGCCAAACGCCACCCCTGACCTCTGCCAGACGCCGCCCCCGACGTCTGCCAAACGCCACCCCTGACCTCTGCCAGACGCCACCCCCGACCTCTGCCAGACGCCGCCCTCGACGTCTGCCAGACGCCACCCCTGACCTCTGCCAGACGCCGCCCCTGACCTCTGCCAGACGCCACCCCTGACCTCTGCCAGACGCCGCCCCTGACCTCTGCCAGACGCCGCCCCTGACGTCTGCCAAACGCCACCCCTGACCTCTGCCAGACGCCACCCCTGACCTCTGCCAGACGCCGCCCCTGACCTCTGCCAGACGCCGCCCCTGACCTCTGCCAGACGCCGCCCTCGACGTCTGCCAGACGCCACCCCTGACCTCTGCCAGACGCTGCCCCTGACCTCTGCCAGACGCCGCCCTCGACGTCTGCCAGACGCCGCCCCGGACCGCTGCCTGGCGCCGCCCCTGACGCGTCCCCGGTGCCGCCCCTGACGCGTCCCCGGTGCCGCAGGGCGGGTTGCTCGGCTCGCCTTCACTGGAGTTCCTGCTGCGTCACCACCGCCAGCCGCCGGCGCCGGCGGCTGGCGGTCAGATGGAGCTGCGCCGCGCCGCCAGCCTAGAGCAGGCCGTCCGGGTGGAGGCGGCCGTCCTGCTGCTGTGGCGGGTGAGGCGCCGGCTCCGGCCTGGCCGCACCGCTGCCCGCACCCGACGGCCGTGTGTCGTGATGGTGCTGAAGCGGCAGCGCCTGAAGCGAGCCCTCGTCGTCTCAGGGCTGCGGGTCGGGACGGAGCGTAACTGCCGCCGAGCTGCCAAACACCAGCCAGTCACCGGCGTCTTGTCTCAGCAGGCAGCGGCCAGTTTGATGCTAACTATCCCTGTGGTGGTAGTGTAGTGAACTTGGCTGGGCCAGGGTCTTGTAGATATCCAGATAAACGGCTATGGTGGGATGAGATTGGGTGCGCCCAGTTGCGCTCGATCGTATTGTATTTAAATTGGCGCTAAAATGGTAAATCTCTGTAAAATGCTCCTGTTTTATCTTGGTGGGAGTCGTTAAGCCTGTGACTTTGTCTGTGGTTTCTCGCATTTGAAACCGATTACTGAAGGCTATGCCATGATGCGGGATCATGTGGAGGTCCTGCGGGTGGACCTTAACTCCTCTTCGCCATTCTGCTTGTGCACTCACGTCGTGGCGCGATGCCACGCGTTCGTGCCGGACCGGACTGCGCAGTGCCGCCGCCGGCGGACCGCACGCTCTGATGACGCGCCGCCTGCCTCCGCAGACGCAGGGCGTGGACGCGGCCGGTCGCGAGACGACGCTGCACGGACAGCACCACGTGACGGTGGACCTGCTGGGCGCCAGTGCTGCCACCTATCCGGCGCCGGCGGAACCCGAGCCTCGGCCGCCCGTCACCATCATCCCGGCGCCGGCGGCGCTGCCCCCGGCCGCGCAGGCGCCCGGCGCTGACGTCCTGCGCCAGCTGGTCAGCGTGGTGCCGCTCCACCGGCCGACCGTGCAGCACGACTTCGACCGCAAACGGTGCGTGAGACGCGGGACCACGGGCGCCGGCGGGCGGAGGACTCCGTGAGACGCGGGACCACGGGCGCCGGCGGGCGACGGACTTCGTGAGACGCGGGACCGCGGGCGCCGGCGGGCGGCGGACTCAGTGAGACGGGGGACCACGGGCGCCGGCGTATTTTGCCTCTGGAGGGTTTTCACTGGCTTGTCTCGTGGCTCGGTGCCGGTCTGCAGTGTCGTGCTGTCGTGCAGTCCGGCCGCGCCCTGCCGAGTTTCATGGAAGTCGACTTATCTACACGCAATCGTACCAAGCTCCGCGGCCAGACGGTGCCAGCCAGCAGCAGGGAGCCCGGCGTGCCCTCCCGCTCTTGGACCGCCCGCCCGCCGTAGTCTTGCTTCCCCAGGCCTAAAGGTTGCCGCCTGCTGCCCATTCTGCCAATCAATCTATCTGAAATAACAGACCCCCGTACGGAATTTTGGTTAGCAACTTTAAAGCGATTTTTCGGCGGCTCTTCCCAGCTTGAATGCAAAGATGTCATCGAAAACACATGGAGAGCATTGGCACATGCTTTTGGGACTACTGTAGGGGTTCCTCTTCTTTTTCTTGTACGTGTATTAATTTTTTGTCACGTACATTGTGTCACGTACATTGTACGCGACACTAAATCCTTAAGATCAGATTAATGCGGACTCAGTACGCTGATATCAAGCTCGGAGATGGCCGGGTCTTCGGCACATTGGCGGCAGCAGTCCTCTCTCACTGGCCGTCAACCAGCCGAATGTCCAATGTGCGACCGCGTCTCCTGGTGCCGATCTGAACGGGTGACCGCCAGGCGCCCTGTCTGTCCGTCCCCCGCTGATGTCATCCCCGGGACCGCCCGTCTGTCCGCCCTCTTCCGGCAGACTGCCCGTCTGTCCGTCCCCCGCTGATGTCACCCCCGGGACTGCCTGTCTGTTCGTCCTCTGTCCCAGCAGACACCCCGCCTGTCCACCATTGCCGACTCCACTCCAGAACCGCCAGACAGCCTGTCTGTCCGTCTCCACTGACGTGATGTCAGCCCCCAGACAGCCTGTCTGTCCGTCTCCGCTGACGTGATGTCAGCCGCCAGACAGTGTGTCTGTCCGTCTCCACTGACGTGATGTCAGCCGCCAGACAGTCTGTCTTCGTCTCCGCTGACGTGATGTCAGCCGCCAGACAGTGTGTCTGTCCGTCTCCGCTGACGTGATGTCAGCCGCCAGACAGTGTGTCTGTCCGTCTCCACTGACGTGATGTCAGCCGCCAGACAGTCTGTCTTCGTCTCCGCTGACGCCAGCGCCGGGCCGGCAGGGTGTGCGTGATTCCGGTGACGATGCTGCTGCAGAACCACAGCGCCTGTGACCTGGTGGTGCACCTGTCGGCCGTGTCGGCCACCACGTGAGTACGGCAGCGGTGCCGAGCCGGACCACGGGCGGGACGGGGGCCGGGGGCCGTCCAGCAGCAGGGCAGGAGAGCTGCGGAGCACCCGACGGGGAGCTGCGGAGCACCCGACGGTCATGGCCAGCTCAGCTCAGCTCAGCTCAGCGAACTAGGCTCTGAACCGTCAAACCATGAAGGCCGAGCAGATGGTAGCTCCAAGGGATGGGTGGGGCACTTACGTGAGTGAACCTTTATAAACGTGGCCTCCCTGGGGACGTGATGTATTTTGTGGAAAGTAATGCTACACTGTTCCGGTGCCGTTGCAAGCCTGTAGGTGCCGGCCCGCCCCGTCACACTGGTACTGCGCATGTGTGTGCGTGCGTGCGTGCGTGCGTGCGTGCGTGCGTGCGTGCGTGCGTCTACACGCGTGACGTGTTTTGTGGCCAGGTGAAGAGGTGCCGCTGCACCCCTCTCGTGGCGACTTAGCCCAGCGCTGGCGCCACTCCGTGCTTGTGACCGTGGCCCCGCCGCCAGGTCGTCGCCGCGCTCGCCGCTGCCGTACTCGTCGCACGTCTCGGCCGAGCTGACCTGGGTGGGCCGCACGCACCCGCACATGACGGTGGCGGCCGGCGGCTCGGCGCGCCTCTCGCTGGCCGCCGCCGTCACCCGGCCCGGCCTGTACGACCTCGGCGCCGTGGGCGTGGCCTGCCGCCCGGCGGACGACGCCGACGCGCAGCTCACCGAGCAGACCGCTCGCGTCGAGTCCGCCGTTGTCGTCCGCGGCGTCACTGCCGGCGAGAGGGGCTAGTGACGTCACTGGCGGCGGGCGGGGCCAGTGACGTCACCAGCGGTGGGCAGGGCTAGTGATGTCACGCGGCAGGCCGGATCAGTGAGGTCGAGCGGGGTATAAGAGAAGTGACGTTGGCGGCGGTGGGTGGGGTTTCCATACGGCCGTGACGTCACACGGTAGTGACGTCACGCCGCGGTGTGACGCGTGCGTTGGTGTCGACGCCACACTGGCGTGCTATTTACGACCGACACCCACACCACAGACGGCACCCCGTCGATGTATTTCCTCGGCAGCATTGGTTGCTCTAGTGACCAACAACGCGTTTCGAAGGCGTGACTGACAGCGCCGGCGACGTCACGTGGTCTCGGCGCGATGAGGGACGTGCTCAGTCAAGCACCGTTGTGATTGGCGCGGGGGTGTCGGGATGTCCGCTGCGGCGGCGCGGCGGTGCTCGCCAACATCGAGAGTGCAAACCGGTCTATCATTCGACACGAGCCTCTGTGATAGAGACCGGACGTGTCTTTTCAACTTGTTATCGATCATTTACTGCCATGTTGTTGGTGAGCTTAGGTGGCGCCTGTGCGCCGATTGGCGGCGTCTCGCTCGGTGGTGGGCGGGAGACTCTGCGGCGACCACAGCCACACGCCAGTCGCCTTCGCTATCACAGCTGCTGTTGGTCGACTGCGGGTTGGGCCAGTGGCGCGCGCTCAGTGCGGCCTGGGACCTGTGTCGCCATCTCTGGTGGCCGTTCGTATACCGATCGGGCGCTCCAGGTCCAGAGGCCTGGTCCAGAGGTCTGGTCCAGAGGCTGGCTCCAGGCCGAGGGCCGGGTCCACAGGCCGGCTCCAGGTCCAGAGGCATGGTCCAGAGGCCGGCTCCAGGCCCAGATGCCTGGTTTAGAGGTCTGGTGCAGAGGCCGGCTCCGGGTCCAGAGGCCGGCTCCAGGCCCAGAGGCCGGGTCCATAGGCTGGGTCCAGAAGCTGGGTCCAGAAGCTGGGTCCAGAGACCGGCTCCAGGCCCAGAGGTCAGATCCTGCACTGTGCGAGCATCATCTTCCGTCGATTGTCTCAGCACCGATTCTGTGTTCGAGTGCTGTCACCTGTATCCCCAGAGGTTGTGTATCACGTGGAAGAGGGCAGATTTTGTGTATATGACAATATACCCTAGTGAAATGGCACGCTATCTCCGGACGTTTGACCCTGACAGGCGCAACAGTTGGGTTGCTCCCTGCTGAAGCCGTATGCTTCTTCCCTGACCGGTGCAGCCTGTGTAACGACGATGTTCAGGTGAGGCGCAACAAGAACTGCGATTTTCCCGTGCGACGGCGCTGCCCCAAGCTGCAGGTGGTCATAGAGGCCCAGCACTGGAAGTAGAGTGCGCTAGGCTGCGTCTCGACTCTCTCCTCACGGCGTGGTAAGATCACGATGGAACTCACGAACGAGGGTGAGATCCTCTCAATAACAATCAGGTCGTAGCTGTCTTCATCGTGTCTCTCGTGCTGTGTTGGTGGTTTACACTGCCGGTGTTATTTAAAGTATATTTTCGGGGGCCTATCCCAAAATATCATTCATGCAATAATTCTGGATCGCAGTCGTTTGCAATTTCAATGGACGAATTACCACTTAAACACCAATGAAGATAACAAACGCAGGCGTTATCATAAACTAAAGTCACGTCAACACGCTCACGTTATTCACACCAACAGGCTGAAGTCGCTTAACAACACGGAACGATGCAATTTGTTTAAAAAACGCGTCCATTTGAAAACATTATCAGCGTGAACACGCGTACAAATAGTGGTCGCATTAACTTCGCAACGCAAATTGGACTCATTTCGTAGCAATGAAGAGCTCTGTGATCAAGTCAAGTGAAAGAGAGCTGCCATTTCGTAACCAGGATGCGAGATGTCTAGCAATAAGCGTCTGTAAAACAAGTATCACGATCGCACCTGTATCTGCGAACAATATACGGGCTGTGGGGGCGCACGGGATGGCAGTTAGCGCACGCCCGGTCTTAACCACAGCACAAAGCACAGTTCCCGGCGGACACCAAGAAATCGTAATTTTGCAGCTCACAAATCTCACACATCGGCACGATGACTTTTGAGTGCTGAATTTCCCTGCGAGAATCGCGATGCCACGCTGGGCCGGCCGGAGTGCTGCCATCTATTACTGGCGCAGCGCAGTTCAGCTACATGATCTCGTCGTCAGACATCGTGCCGCCGTCCGTGTTTCTCGCCAACATGTAGCTATCCATGTCGATGAACCGACAGTTGTTGATGGCGTAGCGAAGCCGCTCCGCGAGCATCTCCTGCAACGCCAGCCACACGGTCAGGACACACAGGGGTGGTGCTGACAGCACTGCCGCATGGTCAGGACACACTGGGGTGGTGCTGGCAGCACTGCCGCATGGTCAGGACACACTGGGGTGGTGCTGGCAGCACTGCCGCATGGTCAGGACACACAGGGGTGGTGCTGGCAGCACTGCCGCACGGTCAGGACACACCGGGGTGGTGCTGGCAGCACTGCCGCATGGTCAGGACACACAGGGGTGGTGCTGGCAGCACTGCCGCACGGTCAGGACACACCGGGGTGGTGTTGGCAGCACTGCCGCATGGTCAGGACACACAGGGGTGGTGCTGGCAGCACTGCCGCATGGTCAGGACACACGGGGTGGTGCTGGCAGCACTGCCGCATGGTCAGGACACACAGGGGTGGTGCTGGCAGCACTGCCGCACGGTCAGACACCGGGGTGGTGCTGGCAGCACTGCCGCATGGTCAGGACACACAGGGGTGGTGCTGGCAGCACTGCCGCATGGTCAGGACACACAGGGGTGGTGCTGGCAGCGCTGCCGCACGGTCAGGCCACACAGGGGTGGTGCTGGCAGCACTGCCGCACGGACAGACACCGGGGTGGCGCTGGCACGCGCTGACATCTGCGGCTGGCAAGTGGGGGCCCACGTGCCCAAAGCGGATAGAGCGGTCGCTGGCGACACCGCTGCGCAGCGCCGGACCATGACGCGGCCGGACCGCGCGCGGGCCGCTCCACTCACCTGACTAGAGTACTGGGGAAGCCTGAGCTGAAAGAAGCAGGTCTGCGCCGTCGGCAGCCCGTCCGTGGGCTTGTCCACCTTCATCACCTGCCAGTGGCGCGGCACGCTCAGCACGGTCACAGCATCGCTGACAGGGCGGCGCTAAACGGGCAGGGCGAGGTCGGCCCACCCGCCGGCTGGTCGTCAGACGATTCACGGCATAACCATCCGTGCATGATGCTGACATCTCCATAGAGCCGCCGGCTGACTGAGATAACCGCATAACGCGCTGTTGACACGCTATGGTTTTAACAGCATTACCGCGTGCACGGCACGTCGCGCACCTCCTAATTCCGACACGTGCCTGACTGCGGGAGTGACGCCAGGTCACAAGTCCCGCCAAAGTCGCTCCGCCCACAGCCGCGGCCACGCCCACCTGGAAGCGCTGCGAGAGGTCGGCCAGGTTGGCTGGCAGACGGGAGCGGCCCGACACGAACCGCATGAACAGCACGCGCTCCGAGTCGGTGAAGCTCTCCAGCACGGCCCAGAGCCAGCGCGCCAGCTGATGCTGTTCGTCCAGCTCCCGATACCTGGCCGGGCGAGAGACGGCCGGTGACTTCGGCCCGATGAACACTGACACGGACGTCAATGGCGCTTCCTTAATGCTCATCACGGAGAGGGTGCAGACGCAAGCCAAGGAGGTATTCAGGGACAGCAGTTGTGGTCAGGAATGCGAGCCCCTTGAATTTTAGAGACGTCCGTCAGCGCGACCGTCCCGGAAATGTCGAGGAAGTCCCTTCTTCCCTCCCTCCCGCCATCCCTCCCTCCTCCTTCGACATCCCGATCTCCCTCATTTGTAATTTGCCCAGTGGTAATAATTCAAACATCTGAAGTTTTCCAAGTTGATCAAATGGGGAGGGCGTAATTGAGGTCATATCGCCGTGTCGCAGGCAAGCCGTCTGATCACGCAGACAACAGCCGATGCGGACAGCGGCGGCGGCGGCGCCCACCTAACGATCGTCTTGAGCAGCGGCACCGAGATGGTGGGCAGGCCGCAGACCAGCTGCTCCAGGTGCTGGGCCGTGATGAGCGACAGCAGCGGCACCGGCACCACCCCGGCCATGCCGTCCCGCACGGCCGCCACCTGCCGAGACCACACGGCACGGTCAGACGACAGGGACGCCGGGCCAGGCACGGCGCCCTCCACAGACGGCAGGCGGCTCGACGGACTCGTCCCAGGCAGACCGGACGCGGCGGACTCCGGTGAAGCATCCGGTGAAGGCAAGGCACAATTACTCGCAGTGTTAGATGCCACGTACAAAAGCATCGACACTTTATTTACATGCTGTGTTGTCCTGTGCTGTGCTTCAGGTAGTCATTAGAGTGAGTTTTTGTCTGACTTGCAGTTATGTTCGCTTGCTCTATCGCTTCTGCTTATGTGAGTGAGCTCTTTCCAATACTGTGCACCTAGTTCAATTTCGTTGTTTTGTGAAGCTTTCTGCCGCGCCACGTCGCGAGGTGGGAGGAAGGCCGGCTCCGCCGCCTCAGCCGGCCGGCGGCGGCGCGCGCCGCGGCTCGGTGTCGCCCACCTGGAGGTCCATCTCGTGCAACCGGTAGCGCACCGCCTGCCGGACGTACTCCAGCCGGGTGGCGGCGGTGACTCGCAGCGTGCGACCGCCGGCCACCACCGGCACCAGGCGGCCCGTGCAGGACGGCGCCTCGAACGTGTCCACTGGCAGCACCTGTCAACGGGGAGGCGGCCGCTCAGGCGGAGCGGGCAGCAGCGGGCCCTCTCGAGGCCGGAGATTCACCGAGGCGAGCCGGACCCGCACAGGGCCGCAGCGGGCCCTCTCGAGACCGGAGCTTCAGAGGCGAGCCGGACCCGCACAGGGCCGGAGCAGGGCAGGCGTTCACAGGAGCGAACCAAACCTACAGAGGGCAGGGCCAGGCGACAGCAGACGGGACTGGGCCGGCGGAGCGAGTCACATGCTCGTACCAGCAGCACGGCCTGGGGCTGGAACTGACCATCACGGGGACGGACAGTACCAGATCCTTCCGGTACCGGAACCGATCTGGCATGGCGTCTCCGCGGCCACCATTTCACCTCGTGCAGCATCCCCCGTCACCAGTAACCAACGTTTCCCCCGTGACTCTGGCCTCACCTCGTGCAGCGTCTCCTCGGGTATGTCAGCGCTCAGTTCGCGGACGTAACGCAGACTCTGCGTGAAGAGAGAGTCTGTTTCCTCCAGGTCGTCCAGACTCAGGTTCATGTTAGCCAGCAGCTTCCAGACGAACGGCGCCAGCGGCACGGCCAGTGGCTTCTTGGTGCGGATCGCCACGCCCAGCAGGATCCCTGCCGCACAGCGGACCTCAGCTCAGGCGGGCTTCACCAGCGGCCACTACATTGTGGGGTCGAAGCGAGCCGAATGTCGCGTTTCGGCCTCCATGCATACATAAGGCGACAGCATTGCGATGCTCGCGATTGCACCAGTGGCACGATTTGCAGCACGATCAGAGACGAGCGTGTACAAGCGGCATTCTGGGCCAGGGTGCTACAGTTCCCCGGCGTCGTGGTCAGCGCGCCGGCTGCGGTCTCACGACCAGCGGTTGACGCTCGAGAGGGCTCGAACAGCGTCAACACGCGTGCCGGGCCCCCACCTTCAGGGTACGCGCACTTCCTTACACTGAGGGGAGGGTCTGGCACAGGAGACCATATCAACGCAGCGGTGCGTAGCGAGCACAGTAGCTGGCAGAGCGTGCGTGTTTTGGAGCGCGCCATCGACCGGCCTCTCCCGATCACTGCGAATTCGTCTGCTGCTCCTCAGCCCGCCCCGGCCCGCGGTCCGCGCCAGCCCGCGATCCTCCCCGGCCCGCGGTCCTCCCCGGCCCGCGGTCCGCCCCAGCCCGTGGCCCGTCCCGGCCCGCGGTCCGCCCCAGCCCGTGGCCCGTCCCGGCCCGCGGTCCACCCCAGCCCGCGGCCCGCCCCGGCCTGCGGTCCGCCCCAGCCCGCGGCCCGCCCCGGCCTGCGGTCCGCCCCAGCCCGCGGCCCGTCCCGGCCCGCGGTCCGCCCAGGCCAGCGGTCCGCCCCAGCCCCCGGTCCGCCTCAGCCCGTCGGCGGCCCGACGGCGCCCGAGGCCGGTCGCCTCCGTCTGCCGCTCCCCAGCCCGTCCCGGCCCGCGGTCCGCCCCAACCCGTCGGCGGGGTCCGACGGCGCCCGAGGCCGGCCGCCTCACCGAGGAACTTGAACAGACTGAGCTGGTGGGGCGCCGTCAGCTCTGGGTTGAGCAGAAACCGGTCACGGTGGCAGCCGGTGTCGGCCACAGCGTTCGGCGTCGGCACCAGCAGCGGCACCGCACCCGACGTCAGCTCGACGCACATCTCCGTGATGGTGTCGTCGAACACGCCGCCCGCGTCGTCCGCGCCCTCCCCAATCAGCTTCACCTGGGGACGGGAGAAAGCCGAGGATCAGACGGAGACAAAGCGCACCGCCCCGCGGACCTTTCGTCGGGTCCGGAACCGAGTGGCCAGTCGCATCACATGGAGTCGGGCCGCCAGCAGCACATCGGCGGCTGTCCGTCGGTCCGCCAGTGTGTCAGCAGCCCGGTCAATGAGGTCCGGCCGCCAAACCGGCGACAGGTCGACCCAGCCTTTTTCTGGACGCGGCAATCCACTCGTCGCGCACTGCTAGGTCGTCACAGCTTCAGTCGCGCGCAGTGACTATCCCCCCATCCAGCTGCACCGCCGCAGAACACACATAGCATGACGCGTCAGTCCCGGGCGGACGCGTGATCATCCGACGCCAGTCTGTCCGCCTGGACCTCAGACCCCGCCCACGGCTCTCAGCCGCCCGGCCGCTGGCACCGGCGACAGACAGCTCATGTGCCGCCGCAAGGCCCCGCCCGGGTCACCGACACCACCACAGCCCGACGGGCCCGGGCCCGCCAGCCCCGGAGGCAGGAGCGCAGTCGGGCCGGTCGCCGCGACGCCGTGTCGGCCGGCGGCTCACCTTCCAGGCGCGGCTGGGCAGCCGGAGCTCGGCCGGCCGCAGGCGCACCACCTGGCGCGCGATCTGCAGGAAGATGGGCTTGCAGGCGCGGCTGCGCACCGCCAGCCGCTTGACCGTGATCTGCGGGCCGTAGTTCTTGCCCTGCCGAGCGACGCGCCACGTCAGCTGAGGACAGTCGGACACGGCACCGCAGAGAAGACCCGGCGCTGCGTGCTGCGCCACGTACCGAGCTGTCCTCCATCTGGGCGTTTGAAGCATGCTAAAAACTGTGAAATGTAGGGCAACAGAGCAGTTCAGCGCGACATCCCGACAGAAGTTTTGCAGTTCTACCGCTAAAAACCGAACCTCTACAAAAGCAAGCGGACAAACACGCCGCCCGTAGCCAAACACAAGCCTCCCGCGGTTGATGTGCTGGCGCTAGCTGCAGACCGGCCCCGCGCGTGGCGCCCGCCACCAGCGCCACTCCGTACCTGGACCATGGTCCTGCCCAGACTGCGCACCAGCGGCAGGGTGTAGACGCGCGGCGCCCGCCACCAGCGCCACTCCGTACCTGGACCATGGTCCTGCCCAGACTGCGCACCAGCGGCAGGGTGTAGACGCGTGGCGCCAGCAGCGGCCGCAGCTCGGCCGATGTCACCGCCGACAGGCCCGGCGTCAGCTGGTCACTCGGCTGCCCGACACACGGCCACACCCAGGTCACTCGGCTGCCCGACACACGGCCACACCCAGGTCACACGGCTGCCCGACACACGGCCGCACCAAGGTCACACGGCTGCCCGACACACGGCCACACCCGGGTCACACGGCTGCCCGACACACGGCCACACCCAGGTCACACGGCTGCCTGACACACGGCCACACCCAAGTCACTCGGCTGCCCGACACGCGGCCACACCCAGGTCACACGGCTGCCCGACACACGGCCACACCCAAGTCATTCGGCTGCCCGACACACGGCCACACCCAGGTCACACGGCTGCCTGACACACGGCCACACCCAAGTCACTCGGCTGCCCGACACACGGCCGCACCAAGGTCACAAGGCTGCCCGACACACGGCCACACCCAGGTCACTCGGCTGGGCCAGCATACGGCCACACCCAGGTTACGCGGCTAGGCCAGCATATGGCCACACCAGGTCGCACCGCTAGGCCAGATACCGCTATTCAAAATACACCACTGTAGCCGCTGGTGCCGTTCCGATTACACGTCTGTGGCCGGCTGGGTCCGATCCGGTGCCGGATTCAGGTTCAGGTTCGGTACCTGGTTCGGTTTTGGTGCCTGGTTCGGGTTCGAAGCTTGGCCTGGGTTCGGCGCCTGGTTCGGGTTCGGTGCCTGGTTCGGTGCATGGTTCGGGTTCGGTGCCGGATCCGGGTTCAGGGTCCGGCCCAGGTTTGGGGCCTGGTTATGGTTCGGTGCCTGGTTCGGGTTCGGTGCCTGGTTCCGGTTCATGGCCCGGTTCGGGTTCGGGGCCTGGCTAGGATTTGGTGCCTGGTTCAGGTTCGGGGTTTGGCTCGGGTTCGGCGCATGGTTCGGGTTCGGGTCCAGGGCCTGGTTCAGGTTCGGTGTCTAGTTTGGGTTCGGTGCCGGATCCGGTTTCAGGGTCCGGCTCAGGTTTGGGGCCTGGTTCTGGTTCGGGGCCTGGTTCGGGTTCGGCGCTTTGCTCGGCGCCCGATTCGGGTTCCATGTCCGGTTCGGTGCGGGGTCGGCTGGTCACACGGCTGAGACGGTAAAGGCCATGACGAACCGGCAGGTCGCAAAAGGTCAGCATCTCAGCCGTGGTCCGCTTGGTTCACCGAAAGTCACACCACGTCAGCAAACCACCGAGCAGCGACGCGCACCAGGTCACACGGAGGTCCAACAACCGCCCCCAGCCAGCAGATCACGGACGTCGCTGGCGTTTGCAGTCGGCGGTATGGGCTCGATGGAGCGCGGCCGCGAGGCCCGGCTCTCCGGGCCGGCGCGCGCCGGCGCCGCCCCGCGGCGGGCCTCACCTGCTGTATGAGCGGCAGCAGCCGCCAGCTGGCGTACACCAGGTCCGAGTAGCGGTGCAGCAGGAGGAGGCGGCGACGCAGCGCCGCCGGCGCCAGGCCCTGCAGCCGGCCGAACTGGGGCGGCACGGCCGCCGGCACGCCCAAGCTGGGGCCGCACGAGACACCCGGACAGCGGCGGCTGCCGGCCGGCGCCGTCCACGCGGCGCTGTGGCACCGGCCGGCGGAGATCTGACAGGGGTAGTGGGGGGAGGGAGCGTCAGCACAGGTCAGTGCGGTACCAGCCGGCAGAAGCCTGATAGGTGGAGGAGGCGGTCATTATGGTACCGGCCGGACGGCATCCGGCCCTCCGAAAGCGCACAAGTTGGGGCGATTCGGTGCAGAAGACGCGCGTGCCACAGGGTAAGGCATTACTTTTGCATACAGCTGGAACGATCTAAGCACTCTTCGGCCCGCAGTTACGACAGCGACCCATTTAGTACCTTAAATGAGGCCCTTCATTATTATAACTGTCGATTTCCTGCACTACAACGACGGCGAGTGGCGGCGGCCGACCTGCCTGCTGACCTGTCGGACGAGCTTGCCGCTGAGCGCAGTCACCAGCTGCGGCTCGCGCACGCCGGCCGTGTGACCCAGCCCCAGCTGACCGTCGTTGTTGGTGCCCCATGCGAACACGTCACCCTCGGCCGTCAGCACCAGGGTGTGTTCGGCGCCCACCGCCACGTCCACCAGCACGCGGTCCCGCAGAGCGACCACCTGCCGGTCGGACACAGGCTGGGTACCGACCGTGCCCGCCACGCAAACGGCGTCCTCAGACTCTGCGAGGAGTGGTCCTCAGACTCTGCGAGGAATGGTCCCCAAACACTGCGAGGAATAGTCCTCAGACTTTGCGAGGAACGGTCCTCAGACTCCGCGAGGAACGGTCCTCAGACTCCGCGAAGAATGGTCCTCAGACTGTGCAAGAAGCAGCTCTCAGACTCTGCAGGTTAAGACGTTACATGAGATCGCCCACTTTCAGTTTCTCCGAGAGATGGCGGTAACTGCTGGAGCCAGATGTGGGGCAGACCGAGTAACAGTGCTCCGCTAAGGCCGCTGTCAGGCTTAGCTCGCGTCTGCCCGACACGGCGTTATGGGCTGCGGCCGGCCGCCATAGCTGGCCGCCTGCTCGCGAGATGTCGTTACGTGCTGCGGCCGGCCGTCATGGTTGGCCGCCTGCCCGCGAGATGTCGTTACCTGCTGCGGCCGCGTGTGGCCGCGCAGCCTGCAGTCGGGCTGGCCGATGAGCCGGTCAATGCCGCAGCTGTACAGCTGACCGGCCTGGGTCAGGAACACGGAGAACTGGCTGCCGCACAGCACCTTCTTGACGCCCAGCCCAGACAGCGCATCCACCAGCTGACCGATGCCACAAACACTGGTGTCAGAGGTGGGATCCGAACCACCAGCGAACGGATGCAACACACACTGACGTCAGAGGTGGGATCTCGACCATGGCCGCACAAGCTAACACTGGCGATAGAGCCGAACTGGGCCTCCGCTGACTGGCGGAGACAACACTGGCGCTACAGTAGAGGCTGCTCAGAGACGACAGACAGACAGACGCTGGTGCCAGGCAAGCAGCACCGTCGGCAGCTGCCCAACAGCCACGGATCACACCACACATGGTAATGTCGGGTACTCTACCCTGTATCAGTCCCGGGTGCATAGCGCATCACTGAAATGTGTTGAGGTGATGCACGCAACGCGGTCCCCACACATGGCCCTCGACAGACAAAACCGAGACGGCCTACGCGCACGCTGCCTGCAGCTGCGCCAACCGTCAGCACCGCACCTGCGGGGTGGGCTTGGAGGCGGTGCTGCCCAGGCCCAGCTTGCCGTGGTCGCCGTCGCCGAACGACCAGACGCTGGCGCCGTCGGCCGACACAGCGAGCGTGTGGTTCAGGCCGCAGGCCACCTGGCGGCCGAGCCGAGCCATCAGGCAGGCCACGAGGTGCGGCAGGGTGCCGTCCCACCGGTCACGAACGGGGCGGGGACCGGCGGCAGGGTCCCGTCCCACCGATCACGAGCGGGGCGGGGACCGGCGGCAGGGTGCCGTCCCACCGGTCACGAGGGGGGGGGACCGGCGGCAGGGTCCCGTCCCACCGGTCACGAGCGGGGCGGGGACCGGCGGCAGGGTCCCGTCCCACCGGTCACGAGCGGGGCGGGGACCGGCGGCAGGGTCCCGTCCCACCGATCACGAGGGGGGGGGGGACCGGCGGCAGGGTCCCGTCCCACCGGTCACGAGCGGGGCGGGGACCGGCGGCAGGGTCCCGTCCCACCGGTCACGAGCGGGGCGGGGACCGGCGGCAGGGTGCCGTCCCACCGGTCACGAGCGGGGCGGGGACCGGCGGCAGGGTGCCGTCCCACCGGTCACGAGGGGGGGGGGACCGGCGGCAGGGTCCCGTCCCACCGGTCACGAGCGGGGCGGGGACCGGCGGCAGGGGTCGGCCTCACCGGTCACGAGCGGGGCGGGGACCGGCGACAGGGTGCCGTCCCACCGGCCACGAGCGGGCCGGGGACCGGCGGCAGGGTCCCGTCCCACCGGTCACGAGCGGGGCGGGGACCGGCGGCAGGGTCCCGTCCCACCGGTCACGAGCGAGGCGGGGACCGGCGGCAGGGTCCCGTCCCACCGGTCACGAGCGAGGCGGGGACGGCGGCAGGGGTGGGCCTCAAATGCGCAGGGGAGGAGCAGCACACGTGGCGCCGGGAGTCCACATAGCAGATCTCCTGAACGGGAGACACTGCTGAGTGGTGTACGCGCTGCAAAGAAGCTTATCTGAGGAAAAGCTGGTCATCCTGTGCAGAAATCGAACACAAACAGAGAATGAACTGAGCACAAGTTAAACGCTGAACACAAACTCATCAAAAGAAGACGTAGGTCGCGTGCAGTCGCCAGTCAGAAGTAGAGGCTTTCGAGGCCGCTAACACCCACTCGAGGCCCAAGCGTCTGATGTTGATCCCTCAAAGGGCCCCTCTGACCCGCATACAATGCGGAGACCGGGCTGGAGAAGATGGGCGCCACCCACCTGATTCCGATGCTCACTTCCAGGGGCCTAACCAGCTCACTTTCACATCGGTTTTCACCTGAACCGCGGACTCCGTCTTCTGAGTCCTACCCACTACCCACCATGTGACTTCGTCTCCCGCGGGCCAGCTGGACCTCAGCCCACCATGGACCCATCTCACTTCAGCCCCCCGCCCCCTCCCCAACACACACACACCAGAGATCCACCCGGCTCAGTGCCCTCCAAGCAACTACCTGACATCGCCCCAGCGCCTCGGAACGCCCCCCCCCCCCCCTCCCCCCTTCCTCCACCAGCCGGCAGCGCACCTGGCCGACCCGCTTGCCCTCCAGGGCGGTGACGCGCTCGGGCAGCTTCTTGTTGTCGGTGCTGCCCAGGCCGAGCCGGCCGTAGTCGCCGTTGCCGAACGTGAACAGCTGACCGTCCACGGTCACCACGGCCGAGTGCTTGAAGCCGCACGCCACCTGGCGGCCGGCGCTGGCGTTAGCGGCGCGCACGCCGGCCGCGAGCGCCCCTCACTCGGCCGCGGCGCTCAGTGGCGTACAATATGGGTATATATAACAGGTGAGCCAAATACACAGCGCCACTGAACCTTGATGCAACTGACCCAAGCACTTCTCTGAATCAGTCACTGACAGCGAGTGTGAGGTGACGGGCCTCCCCTCCCCTACACCTCGTACCAGGCGTCTCACTCGATGTCTCGGGGTGATCAGCGTCAGGGCCACCCGTGTCCGTGGCCACGTTACGACGGTAATCCAGGTCGTCGGTGAGGCTTCACGGCGCATTCGACAGCAGCTCAAGGCTACATGGCAATGCCCGCCTGCCACTCTGGCCGGACGGGTAGACAACCGAGGAATGAAACCTCGCGAGCATCAACGCCGCGCGCGGGAGCCAAGCTCAGCTCATCATGCTAAGCCCGACAGGGTGGCGCCTGCAGCTCTGCCACCTTCCTTGTGGCGGCCTCGTCCGCCGCCGCCGTGCGCGTCACCCACCTGGACCACCTCCTCGCCCTGCAGGGCCTCGATCTGGCGGGGCCGCCGCTGCCGGTCCGAGTTGCCGTGTCCCAGCTTGCCGTAGTCGCCGTCGCCCCAGGAGAACACCTCTCCAGACTCGGCCAGCGCCAGCGAGTGGCCGTCGGAGCCGACCGACGTCGACAGCTGCACGATCACGAACCCTGCCCGGCACGGCCGCCCAGCTGTGACGGACGCTGGGCCAGGCGGACGGCGCTGCCGCTGGCGCAGCCTACCTTGAGGTGATGGTCACCAGGAACCGGGGGTGGAGTGACTCCTAGGTCCACGAGGATGACTTTTTGCGTCGCCAAATATGAAGAGTACGATTCGTGTTCAATAACTCAGCTGAGTCATGCTCCACAAAAACAAAAACAAAATGTTACCCGGACATGTCTAAACATGCTATGGGCTGATTATACGTGATGTACCTCAGTCTTGTGATAACATATTACATTTACCATTACTAAGCTCATGGTTTCACCTAATTTAAACAATGCCTCACCCAAACGAAACAGCCTATCACAGATGCCGAGTTTCAACACCCCGCCTTACCAAACCCTGCCCTCACCTAACCCTGCTACCGTTTGTCACACACGTGCCGCCGCCCCGCCCGTCCCGTCGCGCCGTCTCACCCTGCAGCCCGCTAACCACGGTGAGCACGTGCAAGTCGTCACTGTTGCCCTGGCCCAAGCGGCCGTAGCTGCCCTCGCCGCACGCCAGCACCGTGCCGTTGGCCTGGATCACGAACGTGCAGTTCTGGCCGCACACCACCGTCTGCGCCAGGCCGAACGAGTCGGCGCGCGTCGGCGAGAAGCTCGACCGGCTCTCGCCCAGCTGAAACGGAGGCGGCGGCGCTGACGGCGGCGGGCTGCACGGCGCCGGCCGGCCGGTTCACGCATGCTGGCGGCACCCGCCACACAAGAGAGCGACATCTTGCAGAAGGGGCCAGGCGACGTTACTGATGCCTGAACAATGACGGGGATGCACTGCCTATAAACACACGACTTGGTGCAGGTAGTAGTGTTGGTAGTGGTGCTGGTGGTGTTGGGCCTAATTGACGTTCTGAGCTCCATGCACGTCTCCAGCCCGCACTGCCACGTCGTCTGAACTTCGGAGTCTTACCAAAGACACAGCCCGTGTCCCACCGGTTCCACGCGACAGACCAGTGCCTCGTCTGCACGTGCTGGTCAGAGTCCCTCAGGAAGAGCCCACGCCCAATCTAACCTATAAACAGATCGGACGCCTGTCTGCCCGCAGAGGCCGGAGGCCCACGGAGGGAGGGAGACCCCGGGGCGACTCAAGCCTCGCCTGCGGCCGGGTCAGAGCGGGGGGCTCACCTGTCCGTGTCGGCCGGAGCCCCAGAGGTAGGCGCTACAGCCGCCGCCCAGCTGCCAGTCGTGCGGGTGCAGCGTGGCCCAGGTCATCAGCTCGCCGTCCTGCGCCACGCTCCAGCGGCTGTTGTCGGCCGCCGGCGGATCCGACGAGTCGTCCTCGTCCTCGTCCTCCTCCTCCGACTCATCGTCGTCAGACTCTGAACCAGGCAAGCGGCCGCCCGGTCACATCACAACCCGCTCTCAGTTGAGGAACGCGACGCTCGTCGTAGCGCGCCCCTTTATGAAGCGCCAGCGCCTGCAGCTGCCATACCAGACCTCATGGACCGTGGCGCAACCGGGGTTTGAACTCCCACCCTATAATTCTCACGGCCCAGGCCACCGCTGGTCTCGCCGTGCGGACAAGACCATGGCGAGAGCGGGGGCTGGCCGCGACCGCAAACCGATGGACATGCCGTACGGACAGGACCATGGCGAGGCAGGGGCTGGCGTCGCCACGGCCGCAAAACGATGGACGTGCCGTCGAGCGACACATCTCCGAGGGCATGTGCCATGCCATGAATATCTCGTGCCCATGAATTTCTGACGAGAAGAGACAGCCTTCGACTGTAATCCGCGTTTAATGGGGAAACCCTCGCCCTGCCGGATCAGTAGGCCCACGCGACGGGCTCGCGCGCTGCTACCTCAGCAGCAGCTGCCGTCGGCGGCCGGCGGCGGCTAACTCATCCTCGGTGGGCAGGACGGACGCCGGCAGCGGCTGCCGCCTCAGCAGCAGCTGCCAGCGGCGGCCGGCGGCGGCTAACTCACCCTCGGCGGGCAGGAAGGACGCCGGCAGCGGCTGCCGAGTCAGCAGCAGCTACCGTCGGCGGCCGGCGGCGGCTAACTCACCCTCGGCGGGCAAGAAGGACGCTGGCAGCGGCTGCCGGGTCAGCAGGGCCTGCGCCACGTGCGCCGCCCGGCAATAGTTGAGCAGCCACGTCCACTCCGGCACTGTCGGGCGCGGAGAGCACCAGCCGTCAGCACAGGGCGGTGGCTCCGACGGCGATTGTCACACAGCCTGCGACCTCCGGCCGGAGCGACTGCGCGGACAGGCCGACCGGGCACCGAACTTCTGACCAGACGGCACAGCGTCCGCTTCAGACGGGGTCCAAGGATCTTGTAACGAACCGTGAAGAGCCCGTGACACCGATTGGAAGGGGAAGCCATACGGCGTTGTGATGTTTCGAACACCCGTCAACTACGGGTGTCTCGGAGACGCTCGAGCCCCGCCCAGTCGGACCCCGTCCAGCCAGCTGGAGAGCACTCCTCGGAGTCGCGCCGCCGCCACACTGACCTCTCTGCTGCTGGGAGCCGTAGGCCGGCACCGGCTGGTAGCAGAGCACGCGGTCCAGCCGCAGCCCCAGCGCCAGCGAGGCCAGCGCCTGCAGGTAGCCGCTGTGCACCAGCTGGTCGCCGGTCATCACTGGAGCAGGCGGCACGGCACGCTGTCACGGCTGCGGACGCCTCCGGCGCTGGCCGACGCACACACGCGGCCGCAGACAGGCACCGAAACACAGACACCGCCCATCACGGTCAGCGGCTACAAAACTCCGATCATCACTGACGTATCTACACCTCTGCTGGCCACGAGCGAAGAGGATGCCACCATCAACCAAAACTCACGTGTACCGCTGTCCATGAACTGATCACGGAGGCGTCAGTGCAACGCGCGAACACTTGTCAGCGGTCACAGAAACATTCATCTCATCTTCCCCGTACCCCTAGAGATAACGCTAAATGCCAGAAAATGGTGGACTCGGCCTAACGCGTTATCATTCAGTTAACACTCTGCAGCAACGTGAAATATGGAGATTTCATACTAGAGAAGCTCCTTCTCCAAGCTAAGACCCTTCACGGAAAACGCGATTAAGGACACATGCAGGGATTGGCATACTACGTGAGCCACCCACTACCTGGTATCCGTCAAACTAAACCAACGGTAGTGAAACAAAGGGCAGAACGCGCACACACGTCCAGCCTGGTGCACAGCCTATCCGACGCTCTGAGAAGGCGACGAGCCGTGTTCAGCGGCCCCACCCGACTCCGCGCGCCCCAGCGCCGCCCCCCGGCGCCGTCAGGAGGCCGGCGTCGGCTCCGCCGCACCCACCGGTGGGCTTCTCGAAGGTGTACTGCTGCGCCACCAGCTGCGGCAGCAGCACTAGCAGCAGCCGCAGGCACGGCATCTGGTGCAGGCCGACCACGCCGCGCGACAGCAGCGCCGCCCTGGCGGTGGCCAGCGGCTGCAGCCGTCGCAGCTCGGCCTCCTCGGCGCTCAGCGTGATCAGGTCCTGTGCAGAGACGGGGCGCGGCCCGCCGTCAGGGCACCGGCCGACACGCAGCGGGGATGAGCAGTTCAGTGCGTCAAAAATCCCCAATGACGTCGGTGAGTGTGGTCAAGCCCTACAGAGACAAGGGGCTGTGATCCGGTATCGAAGAGGCAGCGAGCATATGAACACGTCCTGCGTATGTCTCAGCGGGGTCCGTTGGGGACGGGTCGGCGAAAGTCGCGCGATAAGTGATTTCGTCACTACTGCTCCCGCTCGTGCGACGGCGGAAGAGAAGCGGATTGCGCGCCGCAGCAGTCTACACCCCGTCCGTGGTCCGCGTCTCTCACTGCCAAACAGCTACCCTGCCCGCGGGAGCGGTACCGAGGCGGCCGGCAACGGGCCCGGCGGCGGCGCGTCAGCCGTCCAGGCGTCGCGCGGCGCCCCGCGGCGCCTGACGCCCCCCCCCCCCCTCCCACCCAATCAGCTGACCTTGGAGCGCGCAAAGGTGGCGGCCAGGTTGTAGCCGTCGGTCCAGGTGAGGGAGTGGACGCCACCGGCGCCGACGCGCGTCTGCAGCAGCGCACCGTCCACCAGCGACCACACGTTCACCAGGCCGATCATGCCCTTGAAGCAGCCTGCGGCGGCGGAGGCGGCGGCGCCAGGCGTCAGGTGACGGTCGGGGGGCCTCGCTGCACGCCGGCACCACGGGACGGCACGCCGCACGCGGAGGCCCCGCCGGCGGAGCCCCGTCCGCACGCCGATCCGACCGGCCGTCAGTGAGGTCAGAACAGCACGGAAGCCAGCTCGGCGGCCAGCGTACGACACCCTGCGCGTCCCGCATCCAGACACGGCCCGTGGTGGGGAGCAGGCCCCGCAGCGGCCCACGCATCAGTCTCCTCCGACTGCAGCCAGCCGGCGCGCCCTCACCCGAGGCGTGCTCCCGCCCCCGCTGCCGGGGCCCTCACGCCTCCCTGGCGACTCCTAGCTGTCCAGCGGCGGGCTGCTCGCCCCGGCGACTCACCTGTGGCCATGTACAGGCCGGTCGGGTGCAGCGCCAGCGCCGTCACCGGGTAGCTTGGATGGCCGTGCAGCGTGAGCACGTGCCGCACCGTCCAGTGGCCGCCGCCGGTGGTGGGCGACATCGCCCAGAGCGAGCTGACGCCGTCCACGCCGCCCGCCAGCAGCACCTCCACGCCGCGCATGGCCGGCGAGCCTGCCGACCGGCGCCGCGTATGAGACAGACCGGCGGCGGCGGCCGACGCTCAGCGCGCGTCCACAGCGTGACGCCCGCCCGCGGAGAGGCGCGGCCGGAAGACTGGCTCCACCCGACCCGTGCGGCCCCACCGCACCGGCACGTCGCGCGGCGCTCGGGCACACTGGAGGCCGAGGTCAGACTGCTGTCGCTCCCCACCCGGGCTCGGTTCAGAGGAGTCGCACGGCGGGGGACGTGAGCCACGTTTCACCCGGTCAGGCGGCTAGCTTCGCAAGCAGGCGCATCACGGCCAGTTCGTCGCCCGCGTACAACACGTGCAGCGCGCCACCGATGGTGGCGCCAGGATGTAGCCAGTGTAGCCGACGGTCGGCACACTACCCAGCCACATAACGACGTCTCACTGACAGCGGCAGTCGCAAGAACAAGGGTAGCTGCGCAATGGGTCACAAACTCAGGGCGACATAACAGCGCTGGGTGGTCACTTTCGTCCGCCTCCACCACGGCACGCCTGAACCGCAACCACGCTTCGTACCGGGCTTCTGCCAGCAGAGTGTAAGCGGCGGCGCCTCCAGCGGCAGCGGCTCCATCATCTCCCACTTGCGGCCGCCCGCCAGCACGTACATGTTGACGTACGCCTGGTCAGCAGCGGCGGCGAGCAGTAGGGCCGAATCAGACAGCGCCAGGCTGGACAGCAGGCCCTGTAGCAGGCGGGACCGCGAGGTCAGGCAGCGACGCGTCATCGGGTGTCACTGAGCTGCGCCACACCCGGGCAACGGCGCGGTACTTGTTCAGCTGCGTATGACCAGCTGACGTCCGTCTTCTAATGGCTGCGTACCAACGAACTGGCCCTGCTATCTGACCGGCTGACTGACTTCTAGCGTGCTGACGGACTCCTGTCCACACAAACTCTTCACTACCGGGCTAACAAACTCGCGACTCCAGTCTGCTACATGATTGACAGAGCACTGCTAGACCATTGACTAGCTGCTGCCACCTCTGTGACCGCGGCGAGAGACGGCTTCCGCCGTCCACTGACCATGGCCACGCCACGGATCGTGACGGTGTCCCCGCTCGGGCTGACCGAGGCCAGCTGCACCGAGCCGTCCGCGAAGCCGACCGCGAAGCGCCGCTCGCGGTACATCCAGCTGATGTGCGTCACCGACACTGCGGCGGCGGCGGCGGCGAGACCGTCAGCCGGCGGCCGACGCCACGCACGCGGTGGGGACACGTGTCATACGCCACACTCGCCACGGTCGCGCAGCGTCGGGTCAGCGAGGCACAGAAGCACACCAACCGGAGCATAAAGGGCAAGGCGACCCGTTCATGTTACACGACGCTTCAAAGCAACAGCGCCGTAAGGTCATGCCCCGGTTAGCCGCATGGTCCGTCACCCATTATCTCCCAGATCCGTTACCCACTGCATGCCAGCCTCATTACGACATTAAAATTCACACTCTTGCAACGCAAGGCTGTCGGTCTGTCGGCCTGTCGGCCCAACAGCGGCAATCGACGCGAGCACACGGGCTCTCACAGTGGTTTTGCCACAACTCCAACTTTAGCCCCGGGCCGCCCTCTCCCGCGTGAGCCGGCCCTCCCGGCGGGGCGGCCGCGGCGCGCGCTCACCCTGTCTCCTGCCGCAGTGCTGGAGCTCGGTGCGATCGAACTCGACGTCGGCGGTCGCGTCGGCCGGCGCCCGGCGGACCGTCACCAGCGCCAGCCGGCCGTCGGCGCGGCCCAGCAGCAGCGCCGGCCGGCCCTGGAAGTTGGGCATGTCGGTGGCCGGCTCCGGCCAAGCCAGCGCCGTGATCCAGCCGGCCTCCTCCGAGATGAACAGCTGTGCGTCTGGCGACGGGACGGGGCCGGCGTCACGGAACAGGCCGGTGTCAACGCCCGGGCAAGGCGCGGCGGTAATGGCCAGCAGCAACAAACCAGACACGGCGCAGATTCTGCGGACCTCACGCAGGACATGCGTGACCAGCTCGACTACTTCGCCTACTCGGCGAAGCAGGCACAGCACAGATGCTGTCGAAGAGCCAGCAACAGCACCGCGAGCCAACAGACCGAGCTCCGCGCGAACAGCCGCGGGTATGACGCAGCCCGACCTCGGCGTGGCAGCGGACACCGACCATATCCTCAGACCACACAGGCCAGACCCAACTCGACGACAACCTCCAGCGCCTCACCAGAACAGAGAACGTCACCGAAGCCGGCGTCCACTCACCGGGCACTGTCCACACGTTGAGCGTGCTCTCCATGCAGACGGCCACCAGCGCGCCGGCGTCGCCCCAGCACAGGTGGCCCAGCACCGGGTTCTGCAGCTCGGCGCCGTACACGCTCGGCGAGAGGTGGAACACCAGCGTCTGCTCCAGCACCGGCGCGCCGGCGGCACCCAGTGACCACAGCCGCACCGTGCCGTCACAGCCGCTACGGCCAGGCCGGGGGCGACGCGTCACACGGGCAGCCGGTCGTCCGACCGGCAGGCGGCGAAGGGCACACGGCGCAGGCGCCAGCGCCAGCGGTAGTGCGGTGTGACAGGGCGGAGTGACGCGTGTGGTCTGGTATTCTCGCATGCCTGGTGACGCTTCGCTGTCTTTCACAGATCAACGTCGGGCCGTGCGAACGGACGTCGATGCCACAGCGGAGCCGGATCCATCGCACAACACGAGCAGGAGCCACAACCGCACGCGGCTTCCATCACGCGACAGCGTTTTGACTATCTGGAGCGAACAACACAGACACCCGAGCAGCCTTCGTTGAACTTACAACACACTACGTACACCTGGCGTGGTCCGTATACCAAGCCTACATCGGACAGAACCGGCCCGTTACGTCATCACACCGGGCGCGAGGGGCGTCCACTGACCAGGTGGCTAGCCGGCTCCGGCGCGGGCTCCAGCACAGCTGGGTCACGCGGCCGTCGTGCGCCTGCGACTGGTGCGAGCGCAGCCGAGGCATGCAGCCGCCCAGGTCGCAGAGCGCCTCCCGCTCCGGCGACGGCAGCGGCGACTGGCACACGGCCAGACAGCGCACCTGGCGGCCAGGCGGGCGGTCAGCGGCCGGCGCCGAACACTGGCCAGACGTCGAGCCAACCGCATAGGCGGAGATCACCGGCACGGACGGATAGGCACTGATTAGGAACTGCTTAGTACACCAGGTACAGCGTGCGGGTCTGCACTGCTTGGCGCGCCAGGTGCAAAGAGACGGAGCACGGAGGACATAGGCACTGCGACACCAGGTGTAGCTGCAGGGGCCTGCAATGCTAATAACACCGAGGGATCAGGTATCGGGAGCAGCAGACACGGCTCGTGAGTGCGCCAGACCCGCCTGCGCCGGCCGACGCTGCCGGAGTGGCGCGCCGCCACACTCACCAGCTGCTGCGTGGCCCAGGTGCGGAGCGGCGCCGCCGCGCGCACCGACAGCACGCAGGCGCTGAGGGCGTCGGCCAGCTGACTGAGAGGCTCGGCGGCCGGGCCGGCGGCGGCCGGCGACGGCGGCGGGGACTTCTGACCACCGCCTGACGGGGCGAACACAGGGTCAGACGCGACGCTGCGGACGCACGGCACTGGAGCGACGCGATCAGCTCCGCACCGACCGGGCCGGCGGCGGCGGTGACGTCACGGTGACGTCACGATCGGAAACGGCCCCCCCAGCCCAATACGGCCAGCGCTGGGCAGACCACACGCTTCTCAGGGATGTGTGTTTAACGCTTGTGGGCGGTTCTGGCCATTCACATCGGATGAAGGGCCGATGACTGACGTCTCTCAAGCCGTTGGCGCGGGTATAATCAGCTATCTGCACGCCGCGCTGGGCCACCCCAGCCGGCTTTGTCACCCATACACCCTGGCAGTGGAGCCAGCACCCGCCCTGGCAGTGGAGCCAGCACCCACCCTGGCAGTGGAGGACAGTGCCGCCGGTGAGCAGCTCCACCAGCGTCTGCGTCACAGTCAGGCTGGTGGCGGCGGCGCCGGCGCTGGGCGGGGCCACGGCCGCCGCCAGCAGGTCCTGCGTGCACAGCCGCACCAGCACCTCTGCGGCACCCTCGCCGGCGGCGGCCAGCGCGCCCACGGCTCGGCTGAGGGCGCGGACGCCGGCGCTGGCCGGCGGCGGCGCACCCTCGGTCGCCGCCTGGACGCGGCCGGCGGCGGCCAGGCACATCAGTCGCACCAGCAGCTGCACGTCGCCGAGCCCGACGGCCGACAGCGTCTCGGCCAGATGACGGCCGCTGCCGCTGGAACCAGGCACAGTCAGCACCTGCGCGGAGCCGACGGAGCGCGGCGCCGCAGACGCGGGGCGAGGTCGGAGGCAGCGGGCAGCGTTCGCACGGCCTCCGGTAGCATGTCAGGTTTGAGAACAACGCGACAAGTCGTATCAAGGTGACCAGGAGACGCGAGAGAAAAACGAACCGCACCAGAGCGTCCTCCAAACTGAACCGCACCGGCGGAGGCGACCGCCACCACCACCACACACGCATACCCTGCCCTTCCCGACCCACTCACCTGGAGGCCACGTACTGCACCACCCGCATGACAGCGGCGCGGCAAAGCAGGACGCGGCCGGCGCGCGCCACCTGGCGCAGCGCCGCCGCCCGGTCGCCGGCGGCCGTCAGCAGAGCGGCCTGCTCGCCGAGCGCGCGGTGCCGGCCGGCCGGCGGCTCGGCCGGCTCGGCGGCAGGCTCGCCCGTCACCGGTTGTACGCAGCCGGCGCCCAGCGCGTCCGGCTCGGCGAAGCCCACCGGCTCTGGCCGCTGCCGCTCCGACGCCAGGAACGGCGTCAGCTGCGCCAGCAGGTCGGCCGAGGAGCCGGCCGCCGCCGCCGCCGGCTGCGGCGACGGCGACTCTGCGGCGCGGCGCGGACCGCGTCACGGTCAGGTCACACGGACGTCACAGGACAGCGGCACAGTCGCAGCCACGAGTTCCACATGTGTCACGAACCTACGATCCCATCTGCCATCTTCGCTTGCGGTGGAAGGAAGCCACGGCACTCTGTGATCTTGTTGTTGTTCAGCACTCTGTGATCAATTTGTTTCAATTCTCTACTACCCCCGCGCAGCCCAAATAGCCAGAGTAAGCTTTAAACCCAACCGCTCCACCTGAATAAAATAAAAAGAGCCCCGTTGATAGATCGCGCCAGTCCACCTGGCCAAATTCCGCACATAACCCGATGCTCTACCGATCTTCCGCTCTTGCTCACATGGCCTATGTCCCCACCCCGCCCCTCCTCCAGTGACCTACCGTCCCCCGCTCCTGCCCGTGACCTACCGTCTCCGCCCTCCCCTGGTGACCTACTGCCCCCCCCCCCCCCCAGTGACCTACCACCTCCAGCCCCTGCCCCGTTGACTTATCGTCCCCGCCCCTCCCCCCAGTGACCTACAATCTTACGCCCCTGCCCTGGTGACTTCCCGTCCCCGCCCCTCCCCCAGTGACCTGCCATACCCGCCTCCACCCCGGTGACCTACCGCCCCTGCCCCGCCCCGGTGCCCTACCACCTCCCGCCCCCGCCCCACTGACCTACCGTCCGACTCGGCGGCGCAGCTGGTGAGCAGGTCGCTGGCGGCCGTCTCGGCGGTCGGTTTGGCGGCGCTGCTGACGCTGCGGCTCGAGTTCCGCCGGCCGACGGCCGTGGGCGGCGCGTACCGCTCTGCGCAGCCGTCGCACAACACGTAGCTGGGACCGGCCGCGCCGCCCGGCTGACAGGAGTTGGCTGCGGACGCGGCACGGCACGCTCAGGACGGAGGCGAGGGGACAGCAAGCGAGACAAGCGCTCCGAACGCGCCGGGCAGCTGAGGAAGGCGTAGGGGCAAGGCGACCGGGGCGGAGACGGCGATCGGGAAGGGCTTCTCTTTCGTATGTCGAACTAATAAATGTGAATTTGCGTTTTTTTCACACGACAGTTTCTCAATTCAACGCAAGACCACAAGGTGAAAATATCGCGAGGGGAGAACCAGCGCCCAACACAAAACTACGAATCATCCGCAGCCTTTGGCAAGCACACCGCTGTTTGCACCATTTTACGCGACACGTGTTCTCTGTCCGCTCACATGCGGATTCTCGCTCCACTGCAAACCCCAGACCACACCGGCACCGTCGCCCGGCGCCGGCGGCCGCCTGCCTCCGGCGCGAGCCAGCGCCGCCCGAGCCGTACCGAGCAGGGCGCCGCAGCGAGAGCTCCGCCAGGGCCGCGAGCAGCCCGGGTGGGTGGAGCGCTGGTGACGCGCCAGGTCGAACACGAGCGCGCTGCACACCTCGCACAGCTCTAGCGCCGCCTCGTCAGAGTCCGACTGCGTCTGCCGAGCGACAGCGCGCGGCGGCGCGTGAGCGAGACACGGGCGGGCGGCGCGTGAGCGAGACACGGGCCGGGAGACGTGACGTCGTAAAGACATGACGTTATGGGCATGTGGCGGACGTGACAGACCTGACGGTACACATGACGTTACAGAAACTGACCCCACATGCGGGGCATGGGGGCAAGGCGTAATTCTTTAATACAGTCTGTTCCTTGGAGCGCACAAGTAGACTGCACCATGTAGCGTGCGTGGTCTGACATTAACTACGTAGCGTTGAAATAACGACTCGGAATCGATTTCCATGCAACTTCTAGATGCCAATAATTAGCCAGCAAAACTTCACGCACGTGAGGGGGGCAGCGTTAAGTGTGTGTTCGCGCATCTCCTCACAGATGTGACGAAAGGTTGACGTCTTAAGTTGCCAGTAGCCCTGGGCACCCGAGGCTGACTCGGCCTGCAGAAAGAGGTCTGCATCCGCAGCAGATATGCGCACAAGCTGCAATACTAGCATCTAGTCAGCTTCACCGCAGCGTACTATACGACTACCGAGACACCGCTACATCGTTCACGCCTCATTATAATGCAGCTTTCTCTGCCAGCCTGTTGTGCTAGTTGACATAGTGTATATCGCTCTATGTTTGGCTCATCCCCGACCCATTACAACCTACCACGCTTGCGCCGGCCTGCAGAACAATCCTCTGGTACCACGAAACTGACAGAGCACAGCTCCCTCTCACCCAGATATGTGTTCTAGCTTCCCTCACATAAGGTACAGCCACGTGTTTGCCCTCCAACCTGCTTTTATAGAAAACAGAAAAATCGCCAAGCCCATGCGTCACCGGACCCAGGCCCATCTGGCCCAGGTCCATCTAGCCCAGGCCGGCTGACCCAGACCCATCTAACCCAGGTCCATCCGACCGAGGCCGATCTGACTCAGGCCTATCTGACCCAGGTCGGCCTTCAAACACCAGTCTGCCACCCAAAGGGCTGGTTGGGAGTCTTCCCCGCGCTCACCAGCAGCTACCCGGCTACCGGGTGTGTACGCGCCTGAATGACGCCACGTCACCCCCTGCCTTCCGCCGGCTCCCTTCCTCCCGGACGTCCTTCCTCCCCCCCCCCCCCCCCAGCCACGTGAGGTCAACCGACGCACCCGGCCGATGCGCGGAGCCTTCAGCGGCCGCACGCGCTACACTCACCGGGTGTGCGGGCCGCCATGTGGCGTCACAGCGTCGGCTCTCCCTACCGCCACGGAGCAGCACTCACCCGATGTCCGAGCCCCTCGGCGGCGGCCCGCTCCACCAGCACCTCCAGCTCGTCGGCGGTGTCGACCAGGCAGCGCGAGTCGGACGAGCGGCGCCGCGGCGTCCAGAGCGGGCCGCGCCGGCCGCGGCCGCCCGACCAGGCGGCGCCGGCCGGCCGGCCGCACAGGCAGGAGCCGGCCGCGCAGAACAGGCACGCTGGCCGACCGGAGCGGCGTGAGAGCGGCACGGGCGGTACACAGGGGGGCGGCGAGGCGAGGCTCTAGCCCACACCGGCGCGTCCACACTCGGCCACGGCTGGCGTGGAGCGTGCTCGGCGCCCACTAGCGATGTACGCTACACTACACTACACTACACTAGCGGCGCGGCGTGTTTGGCGCCCGCCGACGGGCCGCGGGCGGCGCCGCCCACTCACTGCCGACAGCAGATCGGTCGGCTCCGTCGGCGACAGGCCGCCGCTGCCACTGTGGCACTCGCACAGGTAGGGCCAGGAGGTGGGCGGGCTCGGCGACCAGTCCCAGTGCGTGTCGGCGCCGCAGGAGGGCGGCGCGCGCCCGGCACTGGCTGCGTGGCAGTCCGCGACCGCCCACCAGGCGCCCGTTAGTGACGAGCGCGTATGCGACGGTGGCGACCGCGACGGCGATGAGATGAGATGGGGGTGGGTTTGGGGTAGAGAAGCGGGAGCTAGGAACAAGCAGGCGGACTTTGGACGTGGTTGAACCGTGGACACGAGGTGACCGACACTGCCCGGAGCGTAACAGCCGCGTCTCACCTTGGGATGAGGCGCTGCTCTGATTGTCGCTCCGGTGGGACATGCCACGGGCCCTGGCCAGGTACTCGAACGGCGAACAGTCTGAAGCGATCGCGCCAGTCACGTGACGGCGAGCGCGAGCAACTGCACACCATCTGTAGGCTCATGACAGCTGTGGCCAAGTTCTGGCACAAGCCGGGTCACTGCCCGATCAGCGATCACAAAGCACGCCGCCGTCAGCTGCGGTCAGGACATCCATTCTCCACAGCTCTCGAAGCCTACCATACCGAGCCGGCGTTCAAACGCCGAAGGGCACCGGGCCGATGCTGAGAGATGGACGGGTGCTTCGCGTACCGACGCACAGCGCCCCAAGAACCGGTGAACGGGAAGCCAGAGCACGCCTCAACACGCAGCCGAC